GTCTCAAGAGGGTCGGCGCGCGGACAGGGCCACAAATGACGGCACTTCTCGCTTGTGTTGGGTATGACTTGCTGATGGTTTCGAGGCGCGCGCTCTCCTTTTGAGCGGCGCAGATAAACATATTCGTTTTCGCCGACATCGACGCGTAGGCTGCCCGCGTAAGGCTGAGCGTAAGCGCCCTCGTCTCCAGTGTGGCGTGCCGCGCCGGCGGCCTGCGTGAGCCGCCGCGTAAGGTCGCTGCGTCATCGCGTAAGACACGTTTTCAATCGTCGCCCAATTGGCGGCACTTCTCGCTCGTCTTGGATCAGACTCGCTGCTGGTTTCGAGGCGCGCGCGTTCCACTTGAGGGCGACCGTCAGGGGTAGCCTGGCCGACCCCTGGCAAACCGTCCCCCTCCGTGACGTCTCCCTCGCCTCGCCCCAAAACGTATGCAGCCGGAGGGGAGTTCGAAAGTCAAGCAGTGGCGAAACGTCCTGGCCTGCTTATAGGCCTACCTGGCAATATTCCAGGAACCTTTTGTGGTTTCCACGAAATGCTCTTAGAACATTTCTGGCCGTGACTGTCCTGTTTCAGCACCTCGTGCTTATGTTCTAAGAACATTGCCTTGGTTTTTAGAGCATGTTTGGGTTATGAGAACATTTCGAGGTAGGCCTATAAGAATGCCGGGACGGTCGGTCCCTGCTCAAAGGACGACGCTGCAAAAGGGGATATTTTGCCATAAGGGGCCGGCGAGGCCGAGCCCGAGAGCGTCGGCTGCCGGGTAGGCGGTCGCGGCCCACGGCCCGGGCCCGGGAGGAGGACGGTTCGCCATGGAGCGCCTGCTCGGGGAGCAGCCGCTGATGAGCCTGTTTTCCACCACCACCACCACCGCCACCACCACAACCGGAAGTTGGAGGGGGGAAGGAGGAGGAGGAGGAGGAGGAGGAGGAGGAGGAGGAGGAGGAGGAGGAGGAGGGAGGAGGAGGGGAGGACGAGGAGGAGGAGGAGGAGGAGGAGGAGGAGGAGGGGGAGGAGGAGGAGGAGGAGAAGGACCCCCTCCCCCGCCAACTGATGGTGGTGGTGGTGGTGGACAACACGCCCATCAGCCGCAGTGCCCGATTTTTACGTCCTCCACGCGCGTGGGCTCCGAAAGATTTCCGATTGCGCGGGAGCCTGACGGCCAGTGCCACCGACCCTGAAGGGAGACGACGACGACGACGTCGACGACGACGACGACGGCGACGACGGCGGCGGCGGCGACGTCGACGACGCTGACGTGGGTCAGAGTCCCCAGGGATGCTTCTTGGAGTCTCTCCGCCTGCTCGGGGAGTCTCTCCGCCTGCTCCCAGAGACTGTCGAGCTCATCCTCCTCTCGGAGGAGGAAAACCCAGACACGATGGCGTCGTAAAACAAATCCGGACGGGGGGTTTTTGGCTATTTTCGGCCCCGGGGGGCCCTCGCCGGACCCCATGACCGTCAAGAAACGACTCAGGACGAGAAATTGGTCCCGGGGAAAGGGTCGGGACGTCCAGGGACGCCGTCCTAAACAAATCAGGACGTCGCATGTCTGGGAAGGTGCCGACGCCCCTACCCTGGCCTCGTTTCCCCTTCTTCGGGCCTCCTGGGACCACCGCTGGATTCGCCTCGAGATTCTGGTCAGAGCGCACCTTGGAAGAGGTCGGGGGAGCATCGGTATCGGTACTTCTCCTGCCTTCGTCTCATCATCCTCTGTGCATCCCCAGTCGGAGGAAGGAGAGACGACAACAGCACCGCTAGCATGGCCGCCCCCGTCGATGATGTCCGCGATGCGTTCCCGAGCTGGGGATACGAGGTGTCTCGAGCGGGGTGCCAAAAAGCAACGGCGCCACACCACCATGAGGACCCCCTCTTCCCCATGACCATTGTGGTGGTGCCGTCGTTCCGTGCTCCTGTGGGGGGTGTCCAAATAGCGACGACGACACATAGCTTAAGATGTGTGTTGCACGTTTGTAAGGGGGGGGCTATGGGTGTGTTGTATATTTTGCTTCCATCAGGGTTCCAACGCTTGCCCAGCCGACCTTACAAGTGTGCGTATTCATTCCGGAGGGGAAAAACACACAGACACAATTAATCTTCGATTCCCACGAAAATGTGCGAAAATATGGGGAGTGGGGGGGAAGACGAAAACCCCAAAGATATGAAAAAAGGGGAACCCTGCTATTTGTGTCTATTTATTTGTGTGTCCCAGGGCCCCTTCAATTTCTCCGGCCAGAGTGGGCTCCCAGAACGAGTAAATTATTTAGAGTTCTCTCGGAAACCGCATCGTTTTGAGAGCCGGTATATAGAAGTGCGATCAGCGACCACACTGCGTAGACATCCGTTGACGGGCTGCTGTCGGGAGGCCGTCTCGGGACGTGGCCGTGCAGTCAGTGCCACGGGTTCCCCATCGCGGCGACACGCACGGCAAAACATAACAAAAGTCCAGCGTGCCGACCTAAACGTCTTGGGCTTGTGAACCCGTGTATATGTTCTTCAAGTTCACGTCTTGTTGTAAGTCGTACTGTCTGCTATCCATTCCGGGCACCGGGCTCCAATGCGCTTTGCATCGTTTGCTCTTGCTCCAAGGCCCAAATTGCGGCATGCGATGCGCCGTGATTTTTCACGGGTACCAGGTGCTCAGCCTATCCTTTGTTGTCTCTGGTGACGTGTACGGGGTACATGCGTAATTCTGGCACTACTCCTGGAAAGGCGGTGAACGTTGCCGCGCGTCTCGATTCATTGGACATAATTGCGTTGTGTTGGGTGCAGTAGATTTGATGATAGTCTTCTAAGTTGCTTTGAAAGCAGGTAGTCTTTGCGTTCGCAATTCACGTGTTTTCTTCAAAGGCGATTGTTGCGATTGCGTTCAATGTGCCAGGAGTTTGTCGGTCTTTTGTCGAGCAATCTGGTGCAACGATGGAATAGAGCAATGAGTTGGTTTGACCAGCGGCTTGCATTCTGTATTGGCACCGGATGTGGTGGGGGGCGGGGGGCGGTATCAGGCTTTCGTGATGACAGTGCTAGATCGTAGTTTCTGGGAATGAGCGTGGCGCTTGACGGTGCAGCAATGCCGGCGCGTGATTCATGATGCAGTCATCGGACAAGGTGCATTCGTCGTCTCCTCTATCAAGTATTGCAACTCGGGTTCCCATTTGCCCTTGAGTTAGTTTGAGGGTGGTGCGATCTCCGAACAAGCAGTTGGCAATTGTGAAGGGCATCCGCGACGCGGATCTTCAGGAGGGTCCGAATGGGCGGCGGGTGAGGGGCAGGGGCGGGGGAAGCGGGACAGGGGGCAGCACATGCTTGGGGGTATGGGCAGGTGGAGAGCCGAGAGGGGAGTGACAGGGAATGTGTGGCGAGGGATGGGAACACTGGGGAGTGAGAGGGGTACTGGCATGGTGGGGGCAATAAATCTCAACGGCACCGTAACGGGTACTTACTACTACCGGGTATTTTGAAATTTTGCCGCAGGTTGTCTTTTTGGGGCCTCTTTCTGGCATTGCAGCGTTGCCCACATCGGGAAGGGTTGGGTTCGCTGGGTCACTGTCCAAAGTACCCGTCAATGGAGTCTCCGTTTGAGGGGCGCTGAAAATTCCTTGCCGCTTTCAAAGGGACCGGCTGCTGCGCTTTCACATGCTAGCAACCAGGAGATGTGTGATCGCAGAGAGCAACGTTGCCAGTCGTCCACAAGAGTGAGAAGCCGACCCAAGCAGTTCAGAATATCGGCAGTGGTGAAGGGGGAACGGAGTTGAATTGCTTATGGTGTAAATCACCACGCACGTGCATTTTCGACGAAGCACGCTGGTAAGCAGCGTCGCTAACACATTTCTATGGCAAAGGGTCCCCACGGCACACCTCATTTGCGTTTCGCAACATTCACGCACGCCACTAATTGCCAGCGCCACCGACACAGTTCAGATACAAAAACCCGCCTGAGTTGTCCCATCAATCATTCGCAGCACCAGCAATACGTCTTATCAGCAACACTCCATTTCGACATGCTTTCGCCATGATCGAGTTGGCTGGGTCGTGCGACCAGGGCGGAAGCTCGTACTTACGGATGCGCTGGCACGAGAAAGGCCCAGTTGCCATGAAACGAATTCGTACGCGAGTGCGTCGCACATCGCGCGTGCGTGACGATCGTGCACGCGTGCGACGTGCACTCGTGGCAGTTTCGTCGGGCTTTCGATTCAAGCTGCAGATATTCCTGGGAGGGGGGATGGCTGTGGCTGGTATGGTGGATGGGGACAACGGCGAGAGAGTGGCGTCCGGGAGGGAAAGGTCGGAGGAATGCAAGGGGAATGCGAGAGGGCCCCGACCGTCAACGGAGCGAAGAGGAAGTTGGGGCTCTCGAGCCCATGCCGAACCGCCAGTCGTGCTCCAGGCGCCGTCGGAGGGGGCCCCATCCCGAGGTCTCGCCCGAGCCTTCTGACCCATCCTTCCGCCCCGAGGATGCCCCGTGAGGGGCCCTTGGGGCCTCCCTGGAAAGCCTGCGGCCGTCTTGAGCTACGACCTCTCTGGCAACCTCCGAGTGATGCTGTCATTGCGACGCCTAGATGCCAGGGGGGTGGGGATCGGGGCGGCCACGAGTGGATTGATGGCCAGGCGGGGGCGGGATAACACGGCTGAGGCCACGATGCCTCCCCGGATTTCATGGCCCCTTTCTTCTCCTTTTCTTTTTCTTCTCCTTCTCTTTTTCTCTTTCTTTTTCTTCTTCTTATTACGTATTTGTTTCCTTCTTCTTCGTCTTCTTTTTCTTCTTCTTCTTCTTTCAACACGGCCCCCGGGCCCCCGTCCTCGTCCGCGCAAATCCCTCGGGCCATGATTTGCGACCCCTCCCCCTCTTGACCACGCCCCTTTTGGCGGTGCCCCCCCCCAAGGGGGAGGCGGGCGGCACGGGCGAGGGCGGGGGCGACGACCTCCCAGCCGGAGGGGGCGGGCGCGTGCACGGGCGGGTGCCGGCGCAGCGGCCGCCGAGCTCCCCGCCCCCCCCCCCCGCGCAGGACCGGCTGGGACGTGCAGGGCCCCGACCCCGCGGGCCAGGCCCGTTCCGCGGGCGGCTCGTGTCGGGGCCGGGAGGCGGGAACTTGTCCATGTCCACCGCCTGGGAACCGACGTCTTGGTGCCCTTGACGGGCGGTGGATGTGGATAGATGTTGGCCCCCGAGGGCCCGAATATATATATATATATATATATATATATATATATATCCACAGCCACCGCCTGTGGAGGTCCGCGAGGATGTCGATCCCCCAGGCGGTGGATCTTGAGATAATCCCCCTCCGAGGCGGGGACTTTTATCCAGAGCCGCCGCCTTGGGGGATGATCAATCTGCGCAGACCTCTTCGCAGGCGTTGGATATGGATATTTTCGGGCATCTGTCAGGCGATCGCAAACATAGATTAAGGGGGCGTGGATTAGCGACGGGTCCCGTTTCCACTGGAAATCGCGGATTCCTGCCGCCGAACGATAGGCCGCATTTCGGGGAGGGCACCTTCCCCGATCCATGGATTAGGCGACAACGCGCCAAATCCATGGATCGCTAACCCATGTTTGCGCGCCCCCGAATCTGGGGACCAATAAATATCCATACCCGCCAAGTCTAGGCCTCCTAGAGGGGGTCGGAGTGGATGGGGTCGGAGGATCGCGCCGCATCGCCGACGCATCGGCGATGCGGCTCGATGTGGAGCCCTATTTTCACCGCGCCAGCGTCGCCGATGTATTGGCGATGCGGTGCAATTCTCTGACCCCATCTACTCGGACCCCATCTAGGAGGCCTCTACCAAGGGCACCAGGAAGTCTTTTTCCAGGCGGTGGATGTGGATCAATTCCCGCATCGCAGGACCATGTCCACTGTGCCATGTTATGTTTGTCCACCGCTTGGTGGCAAGTCTGCGGCCCAAAAACGGTGTGTATATATTTCTGTTTGAGCACCTGTCGCCTGGAGAGCGGGCCAGAAAATTGTATACTGTACGTTATCCCGTGGCGTTTCTGCGAAGCCCCATGGGACAGGGCCAAGATGCCTCAGTGTATATACGCGCGGTTCCCATTGTGTGCACCATACCGCGTTGGCCCCTCCCCAGGCGTCGTCGATCTTCGGCCCGTGAATGGTACGGGGCACGGCTTCTTCGGCCAACCAGAGCCGGCAAGATGTGCTCCGTACCGCGCTCGAGCGGGGCGGAGTCCAAACATGGTGCGGTGCACTGGCGCCGTGCTCGTACCCGTGGGGGGTGGGTGCACCAGCCGCACGCGAGAGCGATCCCCCCCCGAGTGACCTCGGGTTCGCGGCGCGCGGGGAGCGCGGGCGGGGGCCGATCGGCTGCTCCTTGCGTGCAGCGATCGGCACGGCGCGCGCCAACGGGCACGCCTGCGTGCAGCCGGGGGCAATCCCAGACCCCCTCGCGCTTCGGGGGTCGGCAGACCTCCTGCCCTGACACGTCGATTCGCGAATTGGCCGTTTCCGGTTCGCGAGAGGGCGTCGCGGCCGTCGTTCTTGCGGGTCCAGGTCCGTCGGTTTCGGTCCCAGGCCGTTTTCACGGAAGGGTGGTTTACTAAAGGGAGGTTTGTCCACCGCCGAGTTGTGTGTTTCGGCAAGTTTCGCCCTGGGGCCCTTGCCAGGCCCCCACACCCTTCAAAGACGGCTTGGCATGAAAGGGCGGTCCTGGGGTTCAGTCGGGCGTGCCCCTCTACAGGAGGAGCATTCAAAGATAGTAAACAGATAGTCGCGGGACGACTATCTTTTACTTTTCGACTAATTAGAAGCATTGTTTGAGGAATTCTTATTCTAGTGGCCTCTGGCCAGTGCCGCCGATCTGGGGCGCTCCGGATGATGATGATGATGATGATGATGATGATGATGATGATGATGATGATGATGATGATGATGATGATGATGGTGGTGGTGGTGGTGGTGGTGGTGGTGATGATGATGATGATGATGGTGATGGTGATGGTGATGGTGATGGTGATGGTGATGGTGATGGTGATGGTGATGTTGATGTTGATGCTGATGCTGATGATCATGCTGATGCTGATGCTGATGCTGATGCTGATGCTGATGCTGATGCTGACGCTGACGATGATGATCTTGATGACGACGATGATGATGATGATGCTGATGCTGCTGATGATGATAATGATGATGATGATGATGATGATGATGATGATGTTGGTGATGATGGTGATGGTGATGTGACGATGATGATGATGATCATGATGATGATGATGATAATGATCATGATGATGATGATGATGATGATGATGATGATGATGATGATGATGATGATGATGATGATGCTGATGCTGATGGTGATGGTGATGGTGATGGTGATGGAGATGGTGATGATCCCGGCCCCCCCCACCCCCTCTCCTCTCTCCTGTCCCCCCCCTCTCTCCTGTCCCCCCCTCTCTCCTTTCCCCCCCCCCCCCTCTCTCCTGGCCCCCACCCCCTCTCTCCTGTCTACCCCGCCCTCTCCCCCCCCTCTCTCCCGTCCCCCCCCCCTCTCTTCTGTCCCCCCCCCTCTCTCCTGTCCGCCACCCCCTCTCTCCTTTCTACAATTACTCAATATGAATACTACTCTCCCTCTTCCCCTGATGACGGTTTGAGAAAGTATTAGCCCCTCCCCCCGCGTATTGACAGTGCCTGCACCCTATAACCCTCGCGAGAGTGCCTCTGCAGCCTTTTTCTCGAGTCTTTCCATCCCAGCGGATGGTACACGAGATTGTCACTGCGGCCGCAAGCTTCGCCAACCAGCTGGCTGCCTCTGCCATAGGCGGGTGGGCCGTGCGGCCAGACGCGCCGCCCTGCCCGGCCTGCGTGTGCGAACCACGGCTCACGTGCGGGGCTTGCCCCGGGCCGGCGGCGGCGCCAGTGTGCCCAGCGGTCACCTGCGACTGCAAGGGCTTGGAGTGCCCGGCGTGCGAGGCCGGGCAGCAGCGGCCGGGGCTCTCGCTCTCGGCCGCGCTGGGCAGCAGGCTCGCGGCAGCCGCGGGCTTCGCCGCCGGAGCTGTCTGGACGCGGGGGTGCCGGAGGGGCGCCCGGCAGCCGGGGCTCCGACCCGGCCTCGCGGCGCTGGAGGAGGCGCCCACCGGCCGCGGCGCCGGAGCTGGCGCGTCGCCGTCTGCGCCGCGCTCGCCTCGCTCGTCGGTCTCTTCGGCCTGGGGCGTGGAGCCCGGCCTGGAGGAGGCCGCATGGAGGTCGCGTCGCCGCTAGTGCTGGCCGTGAGGTACGATGGCGGCGGCAGCAGCAGCCGCGCGGCTGTCGCTCGACATCCCCGAGCCCCAGGTGGCGGTCAACTTCGACGAGGACCCGAACTTCAGGTGGCATGTGAGGGTCCTGCGGGTCCGCCTGGCGGATGGACGCTGGGTGGGCTGGACTCCCGACCTGGACGTGGTGGTGGTGAACCTGGCCCAGCATATCGTGGTGCCGATCCCGAGACGGGCGCCAGCACCTGCGCGGGTGCGCGGGAACCTGTACGCGGCAGAGATGCCGACGGACGAGGAGCTGGCGGCTGTGAGGCTCGAGGCGGACGCGCTGGGCAACGTGCTGGCAGCGGCGCCCGCGGAGCCGGGCGCGGCGGCGGCCGCCGCCGGCCTGGCGGCCGACTGGCGCTTCGCCGACACGGCGTACGAGAAGTTCGCGGAGACGGTGCCGGCGGACATTGCCAGGAACCCGCTGAGGTTGCTGGCGAAGGGGGCTGCTGGGCTCGCGGAGGTGGAGGAGGACGGCGAGACCTCCTGGACGTACGTGGAGAAGGTCGGCGACCAGGACCTCGACGAGTGGCGAGAGGAGAAGAGGACGGGGCCTGGACGGGACCCGCGTGCGCTCTCGGTGAAGCGCGAGGTCGGCCGAGCGAGGTACCTCGCGATGCGGGAGGGGCTCACCCAGATGATGTTCTTCGAGTCGGGGAAGGCGCCGAGCGACTGGCCGTTCCCCGCGGCGGCGCCGTCCGCGATCCGCGAGGTGCTGCTGGCAGCGAGGGCGGCCAAGGAGGAGCTGGCGGGATTCCACGACTACTGGGTGCGCGCGTCGGGGGTGAACCCCGAGTCGCCGGTGGCGATGAAGCACAGAGACCTGATGACGATCCTCCACCACATGCTGAGCTTCGACCAGCTCAACCTGGGGCAGTTCTCGTCGGCGGAGATGATCGGGTGCCTGATCCTCCAGATTCATCAGGCGACGAAGCGAAACCCCAAGAAACCCGATTTCCGCGGGACCGAGCTGATGACCATGTCGACCCTGGACTCGTCTGGGGGAGTGCTCTCGGGGGAGTTCGCGCGGTGGACGGCCGAGGAGCAGAAGACCGCGGCCATCACCATGAAGCAGCAGCGCCCGTGCCAGGAGGAGGAGGACAAGCGCCGGGGCCACAAGGACAAGGACAAGAACAACAAGGACAAGGACAAGGACAAAGGCTAGCCTCGTCAGTCGAGGCGTTCTGGAGCTCTCCTCCGGCGGCGTCGTCATGGTCGCGGGGGGCGGGCCGTTTCCGCCGCCGCTTCGCCTTCGACAGGCAGCGGAGTGTCGGGGTGGCGCTCGCCATCTTGCTCGGCAGCAGCGCCGGCGAGCCAAGACCGAGGCGCTGGTCGAAGGGGCCGTGGCGTCTCTCAACGCCATGGCGCGCTGCCAGCCGGGAAGGGTTCTTCGCGCGGAGGAGCCTCGCCGTCTTTTTGATGCTGACATCGCGCCCGTGCAGGACGCGATGTTGTGCAACGTTGCAAGAGCAGCTAAGCAGTTCGTGCCTGCGCCCGTCGTCGCGGAGGAGTTCCCCGAGGGCGCCCTGGCCGAGCTGGCGCAGTGTAAGTCTATCTACGACCTGGACGGAAACTCCGCCCAGGCTGACTACGACCCCTCGAAGCTCAAGGTGCTCGAGCGGGCCTCCGTGCCGCTGGGCGCCCTGGACGTGGCGGGCGACGAGTGCCGCAGGTACCTCGAGGACCCGGACAACCTCATCGTTCTCCCGCCCGACGAGCTCGCCTCGGTGGACGCGCCGGTCAAGGCGCACTGGGACAAGCAGTTCGCACGGCCAGGCGCAGCTCGACGGGAGTTCATCCGGCGCCTCGACAAGGTCGGGCTCGTGGCCTGGCGGCTCCGTGCCCGAGCAGAGTGCGGGGCCTTCTTCGTCAAGAAGAAGGAAGGCGCTATCAGGCTGGTCCTGGACTGCCGCCCGACGAACCAACTCCACCGTCGGGCGCCCAAGTCGCACTTGGCGACGCCTGGGGCGTTGGGGAACCTCGTGCTCTCGGACGAGTGGGGCGAGCTCTCGGCGGAGGCGCTCGGCTTCGAGGGCGGGGCCGACGCGGCGCTGGAGGTCGCCTGCGCAGGCATGGACCTCAAGGGCGGCTTCTACCAGTTCAGGGTGGGGTCCGTCGCCAGCTGGTTCTCTCTCGGGGAGTCCTTCACCGCGGCCGAGGCCGGGGTCACCTCCGTCTACAGCGACGAGAAGGCGTGCTTCGTGGAGGTCGGGCCCGAGGACCGCCTCTGGGCCTGCTTTGGCGGGCTGCCGATGGGCTGGTGCTGGGCGCTGTTCTTCTGCCACGACGCGCTCGAGGCAGCGGCCCGCCGGGCTCTCATCAGCCTCGGCCAGCCCGCGACCACGCTCGCCGACTGGGGGCCGCCGCCGCCCTTCTGCCGCGACTCGGCGGTCATCGCGCCGCACGTCGACAACGGGAACATCATCGCTGGATCGCCAGAGGCCGCACGGCGCGGCTACGACGCCTTCCGCTCCGAGCTGTTGCGGCTCGGGTTTGTCCTCCACGAGGAGCAGGAGCCCCGACCCGACTTCGAGCTCGTGGGTCGCGAGATCCGCGGGAGGAGGCGCATGCTGCTACCCCGGCGGCGGCGCATGTGGCGGCTGTGGTTCGCGCTCGACGAGCTCATCCTCCGACCGGCGCTGGCGCCGTCGCAGATGCGCCGCGTGGTGGGGCACCTCGTCGACCACTTCTCGGCGCGGCGGGAGCTGCTCTCCTGCTTTTGCTTCGTCTACCGCTTCATCGGAGACGGGGCGGGGCCCGCGAGGAGGCTCGACACCGCGACGCTGGAGGAGCTCCGCATCATCCAGGGGCTGCTGCCGCTCGCCGTCGTGGAGCTCGGGCGGAGCATCGCTGGAGCGTTGGCGCTTTCGGGGGCCTGAGCCGGAGTCGCTCGGGCTCGACCGCAGGCGAGAGCTCCTGGGCGCCCTGCCGGGCGGCCCCGAGGCGGTGCTGGAGGGTGCCCTCACCGACTTCGCGCGCGACTACCTGCTGCGGGACGTCGCCGACGCGAGGGCGCGGTGCGTGCCCGAGCGCCAGCCGCTGGTGGAGGTCGTCGGGCGGGTCCCGACCCTCAGCGCCTCTTGGGGCGATCCGCGGCGGTGGGAAGCCGTGGTCATCGGCAAGTGGAGGAAGCCGGACAAGATTCGCAACCTTGAGGCCCGGGCCGCGATCATGGGGCTCCAGGAGTATTGTGGCGACCCGGACCACCACTCGTCCGTCGTCCTGTCTCTCGGTGACAACATGCCCGAGGTCCTGGCCATTGGGCGAGGCAGGTCGCGCACGTGGGACCTCCTGCCGCTGGTCAGACGCGCGGGAGCCTGGCAGGTGGCGGCCAACGTGCGCTGGGCGCGGCGCCACATCGAGACGCGCAGCAACCCCAGCGACTACGGCAGCAGGCTGCCCCACCTCCGGCCAGGCGAGGTCCGCCGCGGCGTGGCGGCTCGCCAGCTGGGCGCCGGGCGGCCGAGGGCCGCGCTCTGCGGGGCGCCAGGCCAGCTTGCCCTCAGCGCCCTTGGCACCCCCGCCCGCGGGCCAGATCCGCTCGAGCGGGAGCCGCCAGGCCGTCTGCGAGACAGGCCGCCGCGGGAGCCCAGCGACCGCCGGCCGCCTCGGCAGCAGCAGTACTTCCTGGAGCTCTTCGCGGGGTGCATGCGGCTCACCGCCTGCGTCGCCGCGCTCGGCCTGGCCGTCGCCGTGCCCGTCGACCTCGAGCTGGGGTCGCACTTCGACGTCAGAAGCCGTGAGATCGCGGATGTTATCGTCGGCTGGATCGAGGCGGGGCTGGTCTGGGCCGTCGCGTTGGGCACGCCTTGCACGCGCTGGAGCGCGGCTAGGCACGTTCGGCGCGAGGGAGCCGTTGGCCGCGCTGGGCTGGCCTGTGCGCGCTTCACCGTGCGCGTCCTGGACGTTTGCGCTCGGCATGGCGTGCGCGTGGTCTTGGAGAACCCGCGGGCGTCGAGGCTCTGGCAGTGGCGACCGCTCGTGCGTCAGCTCCGCCGGCTCAAGTGCGAGCTCCACGTGGTCGACCAGTGCGCCTACGGGGCCGCGTGGAAGAAGCCGACCGGGCTCGCCTCGAACCTCGAGCACTTCGGCTCCGCGGCGCGGCGGTGCCTAGGCTGCCTCCAGCACGTCGTGCTCCAGGGGAAAGTGCATCATCCTTCGTGAGGTTGGCGGTGGCGGACGTCGCTGGCTGCTGCGTGCCCTCCTGACCTTTGCAGAGCCGTTGCAGGAGTGCTGCGGGATGCCGCCCCGACGCGGGCGCGGCGCTGCCCCGGCCGCCCCTGCCTGGAGGCCCGCTGGGAGGACGCGCTCCTCAGGGCTGCAGGCTCGGCCGACGGCCGACGGCGTCTGGCATTCCCGACGGCCCCGAGACACGCGCGGCTCGAGTGGGAGGGGGCGGACCAGCACTGGGACGGGCTCGACCTTGGCGCCGAGCTCAGCATCCTTGAGCAGCACCGGCGCTAGCGGCCGTCAGCGGCGCCGTGGGCAGCGCGCCCGGCGTCGTGACCTCACCGAGCCAGGGTTCCTCCGCAGGCTCGTGGTGGCGGCCGCGACCCGCAAGCGGTACGAGCAGTGCTACGCCGCCGTGGCGCACGCGGTCGGGCGGCTGCCCAAGAAGGACGACTACGACGCCTGGGGCCGCATCATGGTGGACTACGTGGAGGACCTCTACCGCGCCGGCGACGCGGCCACCGCAGCGAGGTACGCGTTCCACGGGGTCGCCTTCGTCAACGACTGGCCTCGGCGCTCCCCCGACCCGCTGCCCAAGACGCGGCTGTCCATCCTGGCCTTCGCGAGGTCGTCCCCTGAGCACTGCCGCGACCCGCCTGCGGTCGAGCTGGTGTTGCTCGTGCTCGACCACTTCCTCGACCGGGCGGTGGGCGAAGATTGCTTGCGCATGGCCCTCGTCGCCGCCCACGGGGCCATCAGCTTTGATTGCTACCTGCGGCCGTCCGAGGGCCTCGAGCTCACCGCTGGCGCCGTGGGGCGACCGCGCCGTGGCGCGGGTGCAAGGCTGGGCCATCACCGTGGCGCCAGCAGGGATCGACGCCAAGCCGGCGAAGAACCGCCGCTTCGATGCCAGCGTGCTCGTGGGCGCCCACGACAGGCAGTAGGTCTGCGAGGTGCTAGAGCTCCTCGTGGCCGACCTCCAGCCGAACGATCGGGTGTTCAGGATGCTCAAGCTGCCCGACCTCGAGAAGGAGTATCGTGCCGCTTCGGCCGCCCTCGGTTTCCGTGCGATCCCTCACGGGCTGCGACATGCTGGCCCGTCTCACGACGCCGTGGTCCACAAAGTGAAGATAGAGGGCGTGCAAGCACGGGGACGCTGGGCCTCTCTGGAGTCGTGCCGCATCTACACGAAGCCAGCGACCTTGGTTCGGTCGCTGAACGCCGTGAGCGACGACCTCCTGGACCGCGCTGGTGCCCTGAAGGCGACCTTCAGCCGGAGGCTCTTGAGCGTGCTCCGCGAGGGGCTTGGAGTCCCGCCCAGCAGAGGCGGACTCAAGCGCAGGCCTGCGAGTGCTGGTGCATAGTGGAGCCGTCTCTCGCAGAGACGGCAAGCTGTGCGGTATGCGACCGCCCAGGCACTTCGCCCGCTGCGCGGGCGCCGGCATCCAGGAAAAGCGTTTGTCCTCGCCGAGCTGTCGCTCTTTCCGCCGAGGCCGAGGCACGTGGGGCGGTTGGGTTGTTGACAGTGCCTGCACCCTATAACCCTCACGAGAGTGCCTCTGCAGCCTTTTTCTCGCCCCTCTCCCCCCTTCTTCCTCCCTCTCCTTCTTGTACTTACGTCTGCCACGTAATTTGCTGCATTGCCGCTTCGTGCTCGTGCCTCCTGTGCTCGCGGGGCCCAGCGGTTTTTTCCAGTGGTGTATAGTGGAGCCGTCTCTCGCAGAGACGGCAAGCTGTGCGGTATGCGACCGCCCAGGCACTTCGCCCGCTGCGCGGGCGCCGGCATCCAGGAAAAGCGTTTGTCCTCGCCGAGCTGTCGCTCTTTCCTCCGAGGCCGAGGCACGTGGGACGGTTGGGTTGTTGTTTTGTTACAGGATTCCCCGGAGTTGGGTTTTCGCTTGCGTTTTTTGTTTTTTGTTTTTTCAAGAAAAAAGAAGAAGCTTTTCTCGCTGAGGCGCCGGCCTCATTTTCGGGCCCCGCTCGTTCCGAATCGTGCTCCCGCTGCAGCGCTGGCCTCATTTCCGTGCTTCCGCTCGTTCCGAATCGTGCTCCCGCTGCAGCGCTTCCGCCCGCTCCGACCGGGCGGTGGGCGAAGATTGCTTGCGCATGGCCCTCATCGCCGCCCACGGGGCCATCAGCTTTGATTGCTACCTGCGGCCGTCCGAGGGCCTCGAGCTCACCGCTTGCGCCGTGGGGCGACCGCGCCGTGGCGCGGGTGCAAGGCTGGACCATCGCCGTGGCGCCAGCAGGGATCGACGCCAAGCCGGCGAAGAACCGCCGCTTCGATGCCAGCGTGCTCGTGGGCGCCCACGACAGGCAGTGGGTCTGCGAGGTGCTAGAGCTCCTCGCGGCCGACCTCCAGCCGAACGATCGGGTGTTCAGGATGCTCAAGCTGCCCGACCTCGAGAAGGAGTATCGTGCCGCTTCGGCCGCCCTCGGTTTCCGTGCGATCCCTCACGGGCTGCGACATGCTGGCCCGTCTCACGACGCCGTGGTCCACAAAGTGAAGATAGAGGGCGTGCAAGCACGGGGGCGCTGGGCCTCTCTGGAGTCGTGCCGCATCTACACGAAGCCAGCGACCTTGGTTCGGTCGCTGAACGCCGTGAGCGACGACCTCCTGGACCGCGCTGGTGCCCTGAAGGCGACCTTCAGCCGGAGGCTCTTGAGCGTGCTCCGCGAGGGGCTTGGAGCCCCGCCCAGCAGAGGCGGACTCAAGCGCAGGCCTGCGAGTGCTGGTGTATAGTGGAGCCGTCTCTCGCAGAGACGGCAAGCTGTGCGGTATGCGACCGCCCAGGCACTTCGCCCGCTGCGCGGGCGCCGGCATCCAGGAAAAGCGTTTGTCCTCGCCGAGCTGTCGCTCTTTCCGCCGAGGCCGAGGCAGGTGGGACGGTTGGGTTGTTGACAGTGCCTGCGCCCTATAACCCTCTCGAGAGTGCCTCTGCAGCCTTTTTCTCGCCCCTCTCCCCCCTTCTTCCTCCCTCTCCTTCTTGTACTTACGTCTGCCACGTAATTTGCTGTATTGCCGCTTCGTGCTCGTGCCTCCTGTGCGCGCGGGGCCCAGCGGTTTTTTCCAATGGTGTATAGTGGAGCCGTCTCTCGCAGAGACGGCAAGCTGTGCGGTATGCGACCGCCCAGGCACTTCGCCCGCTGCGCGGGCGCCGGCATCCAGGAAAAGCGTTTGTCCTCGCCGAGCTGTCGCTCTTTCCTCCGAGGCCGAGGCACGTGGGGCGGTTGGGTTGTTGTTTTGTTACAGGATTCCCCGGAGTAGGGTTTTCGCTTGCGTTTTTTGTTTTTTGTTTTTTCCCCCAAAAAAGTTTTTCTCGCTGAGGCGCCGGCCTCATTTTCGGGCCCCGCTCGTTCCGAATCGTGCTCCCGCTGCAGCGCTGGCCTCATTTCCGTGCTTCCGCTCGTTCCGAATCGTGCTCCCGCTGCAGCGCTGGCCTCATTTCCGCGCTTCCGTTCGTTCCGACTCGTGCTCCCGCTGCAGCGTTGGCGTCATTTCCCGTGCCATGCCACGGCATGCAATGCAATGCCAGGTTGATACTACGCTTTGCGGTGCTCTTCTACGCCATGCCATGCCGTGCTCTACAATGCATCGCGCACCCTTTCGGGATCATTGGCCTGCTAGACATCCGACTGTGCGAGTAGAGAGGGGATCTACGCCATGGCAAGGGATGGGAGAGAGGGGTAGGATGTCAGGTATGACGCGCGCGCACCTAGCTTGCCCCCCTCCTCTCTCCTGTCCCCCCCCTCTCTCCTGTCTCCCCCCCCCTCTCTTTTTTTCCCCCCGCCTCTCTCCTGTCCCCCCTCTCTCTCCTGTCCCTCTCCCCCTCCCCTCTCTCCTGTCCCCCCCATCCATCCTGGGGGCTAGCGGGGGGGGGGGGAGGTACCGAACACTTAATTCGTCAGGTAATTACGTCCTCCCCCCCCTCCCCCCCTCCCAAGCAGAGCTAAAACTCATGCTGAAGCAGAGCTTCAGCATAGACTTCTTAATCTCACACGCCGGATCGGCGGATTTTTCGTCCAACGTCCGCCTGTAGGGGGACATGCCCGACCAAATCCTGGGGAGGGGGTCGCAAGGGTCAAGGGGTGCACGCGGAGAAAGCATGGCGTCGGAGGTTTGGGGGTGCTGCAGGGGGAACAAAGGGGGGAGTGCAGGCAAGGAGGCAGGGAAGAACGGTGGGCGGGGAGGCGTGATGAATTGGCGGAGTTGTGAAGATGGAGGGAGGCTGAGGGAGGAGGGAAGGAGAGGGGAGGCGACAGGAGGAGGAGGGAGGGAGGGAGGGAGTGAGGAAATGCGGAGGAACGCATTGAGGAAGTGTGCGAGGAGGCGGCGGAGGGAGGAAGGGGGGAGGAAAGGGAGGTGGAGGGACGGACCATACATTGTGGGGACACGGGTGCAGTGGGGGGGGCTTGGAGGGAAAAGGAGGAAGGGCAGTGACGGGAGAGGGAGGGGGATGGGGGATGGACCAAGGGAAGGACGGAGTGAGAGGTGGGACAGATGGAGGGATTGGGGTGCATCAGGGATATTGGACGGGGAGGGCAGGATGAAGAGGAGGGATGAGAACAGAGAAGCGGATAGAAAGGAGGAGATGAGACGAGAGGGCAGGAAGAGGAGGGAATACATCACGCTTTGAGAAGGACGAAAAATCACGGAGGAAGGGGAGAGAGAGAGAGAGAGAGGGAGACAAAGAGAGAGAGCGAGAGAGAGAGAGAGAGAGAAAACGAGAGAGAGAGAGAGAGAAAACGAGAACGAGGGAGGGAGAGAAACATATGTAGAACCAGCATTACAATGCAGCGAATGAGAGAGAAAGAGAGAGAGAGAGAGAGAGAGAGAGAGAAGACAGGAGAAAACGCTGGAATGGAACGAGGTTTTTGCTATTCCCCCTGCGTGTCCGGGCCTGCTCCAAAAGCGGCGCCGCGCGCAGTGTCGAGCACGGTTGCGTCCCAAGGCGTGGGCACGAGACAGGAGCAGAATGCCCTCCGAGACCCCGGGGGGGGGATCTCGAGGACGGGGATGCGCCCCACCGCCGCGGGGACGGCCACACCCCAGGAGGCCCGAGGACCAGAGAGCCCGCGGCCCAGTGGCCGAGCCCAGACGCCCTCCAGGACCCAACGCCCCGACATCCAGGAGCCCCAGGAAGCCCCAGGACGCCCAGGAGCCCCAGGGGCGCGCAGGAGCCATCTGTAGCTGCGGACGGTGACGTGCCGGCAGCGGAGTGTGTGCTGGCGCGGTCAGTGTCGTGCCCGTGCCACGCCCCACGCGCCGCTCAGAATCAGAGTGCTGGGAGCACGGCGTAGCGTGCGGGCAATTGGAGCCAAGAGGATTCGGGCAGGCGGAACGCTTTCAGAAAACGTGCTCACTTGGGCACCTTCCACGGTGTTCACATTCAGGGGTCACAGCCTAAAAATTGATGGGACAGCACCCCGAGTAAATAATCGAAGTTTCAGCCTGCAGGCCTGCTCAGACACAGTCCAAGCGCGCTAGCCTGGAGGCTCGAACGCTTGCAGCTCCTTGAGGTCGTTCGCATCCAGGGGCGAGCTCACGAAGCCGGCATCCTAGATGTGCCCGGCATGCGGGTTGCCTCCCTTTGTTTGGAGGATGCCGTCATCGAACATCACTTTCGGCTTCCACACGAAGAGGTTCTTCCCTACTCGCCTGTGGTGGCCGACGTCTGTTCACGCGCGCGTCGTTGACCGCCGCCAGGGCGTAGGCTATCTTGCCGAGGGCTCCTGGGAGGGGTTCCGAGGGAAGACAAGCACGATCATCAGCTGCACCTGGATCTCCTCCGCGGCCTCCGTTCTGTCCAGCTTCATCCTCACCGCTGCTGATGGGCCCATGTTCCACCACCACCACCATAAGTGGGGTGGGTAGGGGGAAGGAGGAGGAGGAGGAGGAGGAGGAGGAGGAGGAGGAGGGGGAGGGGGAGGGGGAGGAGGAGGAGGACCTCCTCATTCCCCCCTTCTCTCTCCCCCGTCCTACATATGATAGTGGTGGTGGAAAAATTGCCCATCGGTTGCCGGCGGGAGAAGCGCGGTCAGCGGCACCCGAGCCCCTTCCGCGGCCTCCAGCGCGTGCCGCTTCGCCTGGAGCGCCTGCGCGGCACGCTACGCCCGGCCGCCGCCCACGGTCTCCGGCGAGAGCGGCAGGGAGGGCCTGCGTGGGCAACAGCTCCATCAGGAGAGCTATGATGTTCCAACCTACTTTAGCCTTGATCGCCCGAACGAATTTCGAGCCCCCCAACAAATAAGGAAACTCAAGGGTTTTCACGTGTCGGCCCCTCGGAGACACACCTGTCCGACCTTTTCGACACTTTTCCGGGTGCTTCAAATTATTTCTGGGATGTGGTCCTTAAGTACGATGGGAGCAACGTGACAGGAGAGGCGTGACGATCGTGTCCAGCGACTCCTGGAGGATCGTCCTGACCTGCAGCTTTTGCCTGGAGGCTCGCAGCGGCCTCCGTTCAGCACAGCTTCGCACGGAGGGTCCTTTTATCGACCTCCTGCCTCGTGCCGCCGCGCACCTCCGACCTGGCCTCCTGCGCCTCGGGGGCGCCGAACGCCGAGAGGCACTGGAGCCCATTCTGCTCCGAGAGTTGCCGCAGCGCGTTGTAGCAGGTGTCCACCCTCTCCGCCACCTTGGGCGTACCTGGCTGTGATGAGGCCTTGCTCCCTGGCCGCGCGCGCGGCTGCAGGGAGGCCCTCGAACGGCCAGCGCAGATGTTCGAGAGTCGCATCCCAGAGCCCGTATACTCGCAGCGCCCGGCCGGCGAACATCGCACCCATGGCGCTGCAAACCTGACAAGTATCGAAGACGCCTACGGCGAATCACCGCCGCCCCCTGCCTTTTTGGAAGCGCCTATGTGGCCGAACGTTGGAGGCCAGACCTGCCAAGCTATCGGACCACGTGTTCCCCGAATCGGTTTGGAAAGCCTTCGGGGAACACGTGGGCATCTTGAAGGTCATCTTGGCCGTCTTGGAGGCCTCTTGGGCAAGCTTTGGGCGATCTTTGGGGCTTTTTGGGCCGTCTCGGGCCAGCTTCGAGCCAACTTCGGCCATCTTGGTGGGTTCCTGGCACGTCTGAAGCCGTCGGAAGCCGTTTGGGGGGCCTCTATGGGCCGACTTGGGGCCCGCTTGGAATGCTCCAGGGCCGTCTTGGAGGCCATCTTGGGCGTCTGGGAGGCCATCTTGGGCGTGTTGGAGGCCTCTTGGGCCCTCTTGGGGCCCTCTAGGGGCCATCTTGGAGGCCACTTGGGCCATCATGGGGCTCTCTTGGGGGCCTCTTGGGCGATCTTGGGGGCTTCTTGGGCCGTCTTGAGCCGTCGGAGAGCCGAAAAGGCGCAAATGCCAAAATCCTTCAAAAACCAAGGGAAAATCAATGATTTTGGCCTCTTCGGACTCTCCTGGAGGACCTCTTGGAGGCCTCTTGGGCCGTCTGGGAGGCCTCTGGGGGGCCTCTTGGGCCGTCTTGGGCCGTCTTGGACTCTCTTGGGCCGTTTTGGAGGCCGTCTTGGACCATCTCGGGCGGACTTGGAGGCCATCTTGGGCCATCTTCGCGATTTGTTGAGGATGTCCCGAGCGAAACGGCCGTTTTTTGGAGGATTGTTTTCCGGATTGAGGTCCTTTCGGCTTCCTCCCGGGACCCCGGCGGGACGTGCCGGAGCCCTTTGGGGAGTTCTTTTAGAAAAAGAACCAAAACCAAAACCTGAATCGTCCAGCACGCCGTGCACCCCTGCAAGCAGGGGGCGGCGGATCTCATGGCCTTCGGCCCATCCCGCCACCGTGCCTGGGTTGTGGGTATGAAGCCTGTTGAATGTTCGCTGGGATCTCGTTGAAGCCTCTCGGGTGCATCTTGGAGGCAGTTTGGACGTCTCTTGGGGGCCTTTTTTGAGCCTCTTGGGGGCCTCTCGGGGGCCTCTTGGGGGCCTCTGGGGGGCTTCTTGGGGCATCCTGGGCGCCTTTTGGGGCCTTCAGTAGGCATCTTGGGACGGCAGGCTCGGATTTTCAGTTTGTGTTCCCTCTCTTAGGCCGCTTTTGGGGCCGTCTTGGGGCCCTCCTGTGCCGTTTTGGGCGCCTCTTGGGCCGTCTTGGGGCCCTCTAGGGCCGTCTTTGGCCCCTCTCGGAGGCCTCCTTGGGGCGTCTTGGGGCGGTCTTGAAGGCTTCCAGGGCCGTCCGGGAGCGTCGGGGAGCCGAAACGGCGAGACCGCCAAAAACATTCAAACACCCACGGCGAATAAATGATTCTTGCCTCTTGGGGCCCTCTCGGGAGGCATCTTGGAGACTTTTTGGGGCGTCTTGGAGGCCTCCTGGGCCGTCTGCAGGCCACCTCGGGCGTCTGGGAGCGATCGTCTGGCGACTCGGGGCCCTCTTGGCCTGGTCTTCGGGACTCCTTGGGGCCCTCTTGGCCCGTCTTGGCGCCCTCTCGGCCCTGGAAACTTGACGCGAGAACGCTTCCTGGAGCCCAGGGGGCACGCGGGAAGCCCCAGGAGATCTCGGAATCTGGGGTCCGGGCCCCTGAAAGACTCCGCAGGACTAGAGGATCATGCAGAGGGCCTGAGGACTAGAGGATCATGCAGGGGGCACGGTGGAGGACCTTACACGTGTGCCGCGGGCCCAGCCGCGAGCAGAGCCCGCCGCCTTGAGCCAAACAGGGCTACGGAGGAATGGAATGAGGGGAGGAGGACGCTGAAGAGGAGAAGGGGTAGGATGCTGAGGAGGATGAGGGCGCTGAGGAGGAGGAGGAGGAGGAGGAGAAAGAGGTCTGCTAGGCATTAGGAGGCACATGGCGAAGGTCATTCGAACGAAAAGAGAAGGATGAGCCACCATCGTCGGCGTTGCTGGAGGAAGAGGGCGGCGACGAAGAGGACGATGCGGTCGACGACGGCGACGACGGCGACGACAACGATGACGAAAACGATGACGACGACCCTGGTCGACCTCCCGACCCCTGAGGCCCAGAAAGGTAGAACGACATCCAGGCCCCGAAAGGTAGAGACCATCCGAAAACCTCAACCCTCGATCGTTGCGCCTCGATCCTTGGGCAACGAAGAAGGACGGACGACGCCGACATCGACGCCGCCGCCGCCGACAACGACGACGACGATTGCGGCGGCGGCTGCGACGTCCGCGACTGCGACGACGTGCGCCTCGGCGGCGGCGACGACGGCGGTGACGAACGACAACCTCGGACGACGGAGACGGCGGCGGTCGGCGCACTCCGCGCCGCCGCCGAGTGCCGCAGAGGGCCACCGAGTGCCGCCCCCGAGGGAGATGACGATGCAGGGCCCGTCTCGACTCGAGGCGTTCGATCCGATGCCGAGCACACGCGATGCGATGCGGCCCAGTGCTCGCCATGGCGCCGCTGTGCATCCTGGCGCCGCCGAGCCGATCTGGCCTCCGTGCCGATGTTTCGAGTCGATGCTGACTGGTCCAGCGGCGACGGCGAGGTTCCTCGGCGGCGCTCCGAGGAGTGGGGGGGGATGACAGGGGACAGGCCTTCTCGAAAGGTGGCGAGGCTTCTCAGAAGGCCTCCAGGCCTCTGAGAAGTCGCCCGTGTCTTCGGAAAAAGGCTTAGAGCACCTCTCTGAGAAGGCCAGAGGCCTTCCCAGCCTTCCAGAAGGCCATCCCTTGAGCCTTCCCTTCGGATGCAACTCCTGGGAGGTCAGATTCTGACTACGCCACTATGCCCTGGTCCGAGATCTGGCTCAATCCCGCTCAATCCAGCTTGATCCCGCTTATCCTGGCCTACTCCCGCTTTGTCCGCGGCCTACTCTGGCGCAGCAGCCCCCCCCCCGACGTGGGTGAATCCTCGAGGGTCCTCCCGACGCAGACCTCCCAGCAGTGCCTCCGAACTTCCCCCCTTGGCGTCCCGCCCAGTGGCAGCGAGGGCCTCCTCCTCCCGGCAGGCGGCCGCCGACGCGGGCGCCGCGCCGGCCGGCGACGCCGCCGCGGTCTCCGTGGCGCTCCCGGGCGGCCTGCAGTTGTCGCCGCAGGGCCAGGCGGCCGACCGATCGGGGCGATCGAGTCGGGTGCGGAAGTCAGCATCGTTCAAACCGATCCCCATCCCCATCCCCATCCCCTTCGAGACCCCCCAAAAAATTCCACCCCAGTTGGGGATACACCCCTCGAAACACGAAGAGAACGACCTACATCCCCATCTAGTCGGCCAGTGGGGCCCAGGCCACGCCGCTGGGGATGGGGATCGGCAAAACGATACTCAGGAAAGAATAGGTTCGATGCCAAACAGCAGCGCCTGCCCATTTTGAACAGGGCTCGCTGTCCGTGCCGTCGCGGACGCTGTTCACTGAAGACAAGAAGCCGCCTGCCCGACAGCGGCCGCTGTCGGTGTTGGGCGACATTTGTTGTTGGGCATTGTACCTATTTCTCCCCACATCCAACGCGGGGTCTTGTTTTTTTCCCCACATCCCGCGCAGGAGCAAGAGAGAAAGCACACCCTCTCCTCTTCTCCCATCGCACACTCACTCACTCATCACTCACACAAATCATCAGTCACATTCACTCACTCACCCACTCACTCACCCACTCGCACTCATCACTCACTCACTTACCCACTCACTCACCCACTCACGCACTCACTCATTCACTCGTCGTCATCACAAACTCACGCCCTCACCCACTCACTCACCCACATTACCCGCCCCAGTCACTCACTCACACACTCGTCATCACCATCATCATCATCATCATCATCATCATCACCATCACCATCACCATCACCATCATCATCATGATCATCATCATGATCATCATCATGATCATCATCATCATGATCTTCAATCGGAGTCGTCACGGAGTCATTGGTGGGTCATCGGAGTCATGCAACTGTCGTCATTTTTGGGCCCCTGAGGCCTGAACATGGAGGACGTATCAGGAGGGGGGCTCGTCTGTGAGCGACTTGCGAGGAAGTCTCAGGCGAGAGCCCCCTCCCTATGGGGCCCGCAGCTCATGTTTTCCATCCGAGGCGGGTCATCGGAACCCTGTAACCTTTTTGGGCAATTTTGGGCCCCCGAGGTCTGAGTGTGGAGGAAATCTCAGGCGGGAGCCTCGTCTGTGTCTGAATTGCAAGGAAGTCTCAGGCGGGAGCCCCTCATCCTTGTGGGGCCCGCAGCTCACGTGTTCAATCCGAGGATGGTCATCGGAGCTCTGCAACTGTTGTCAATTTTGGGCTCCTGAGGCCTGAATATGGAGGAAGTATCAGGAGGGTGCTCGTCTGTGAGTGACGTGCGAGGAAGTCTCAGGCTGGAGCCTCCTCCCTGCTGGGGCCCGCAGCTCACGTTTTTTCATCCGAAGAAGGCCATCGGAATCCTGCATTCGTCGTCATTTTTGGCCTCCTCAGGCTTGAATATGGAGGAAGTATGAGGCGGGAGCCTCGTCTGTGTCTGACTCGCGAGGAAGTCTTTGGCGGGAGCCCCCTGCTTACGGGGCCCGCAGATCATGTTATTAATCCGAGCGAGTCATCGCCCTGCAACTGTCGTCATTTTTACCTTCTTCGAGCTTGAGTATGGCGGAAGTCTCAGGCAGGAGCCTCGGCTGTGCCTGAATTGAGAGGAAGTCTCAGGCGGGAGCCCCCTCCCTATGGAGCCCGCAGCTCATGTTAGTAATCCGAGCAGGTCATCGGAATCTTGTAACCGTCGTCACTTTGGGGCTCCTGAGGCCTGAATATGGGGGAGTATCAGGCGGGGTTGTCCCAACGGCTGCGCGATGCGGCCATTCGAGAATGCGCCCGTGCTGCTTGAGGCGGCGATGGCGCCGAGGACAACCGACGCGCGCGCTCTTGCTAGGAGGAAGGAGAGGTGCACGAGGAGAACAGGCGGGGCGGAGATGAGGAGGGGGAGAAGGTGGGGAGGTGGAGGAGGAGGAAGAAAGGACGAAGAGGAGGAATATGACGAGGAGGAGGGGGAGGGAAAGGAGAAGGCGGAGGACGAGGAGGAAGAGGGGGAGAAACAAGAGGCGTAAGAGCAAGCGGATAAGAAATGCAACGAGCAGGACGAGAATGAACAGGAGGAGGAGGAGAAGGAGGAGGAGGGGGACGCAGAGGGCGGAAGGAAGGCCTCCGCCAGTCGAAGAAGAAAAGGGCGGGACAAGCTAAATCGATTCTCGTGCGGGGTCCTACCGTCGGAGTAATTTCCGTACCCATTCCGGGCGTCCAAAACCGACGGCCCCGCCCCTCCATCGGAAAGCACGAGCGTCAGATCTTTGACGGTACAGTCGTACCGCGGTATGAGGTCGAGGCTGGTTCTTGGAGAGTAGATACCCCCTGACGTTCTTCGCGTCTGCCGGGTCCTCTCGTGCATCCTGGTGAGGGTGCCTTGAAGATGCTCTGCGTGTTCTTTCCGGCGGAGGGCCTCATGTTCTCGGTGGCCGGGGGATGATCCTGTGGCCCAGGTCCGATTGCAAGTTGGAGAAAAGAATCGGCGCCGACCTTCGCCGATCCACGATTCGGGCAACTCGATGGGCGGCGGGTGTAGGGTTGGGGATTCGTCGATCACGTGGCGAAATCCGAATCCTGCCCCCGCCTCCCATCGATCCAGGAGAATCGATGTCGGCTATAGCCCCAAATATGACTGGAATCACTAAACCAGGTCTGCCGTAGCAGGTGTTTTTCGGGCGACGGCAGTTTCGGTTAGTGGAAAGGGGCGGGGGGGGCGTCCCCCGGCACACATCACAACCCGGTCCCACGAAACCCAGTCCTGCCAACGCCCGACGATGGTTGGTGCGGGTGGGGTTCGGATGTCGCCGCCGAACATCTTGGCGTGCTTTCCAGGTTTGCTTTTTCTGGGGGCCGCCAGGTGGGCCACGGGACCATCGAACAGGAGTCCAGGACAAAAACACCTAGGAAGGGGGTCGGGGCCTCCTGTCGGACGGGTGTAGGACGAGGATTATGATGTTCCAACCTACTTTAGCCTTGACCACCAAAAAAAATTCGAGTGCCAAAGAAAGTACCGAAACTCGAGGGTTTTCACGTGTGGGGCCCCGGGAGACACTCGTCCGACACTGCTTCGACATTCTTTCGACACTTTTCCGTGTGGTCAGAATTATTCCTGGGATGTAGTCCTAAAGTACGATGGGAGCAACATAAGACGAGAACAAATTCGTTCCAGAGTGTTCCAGAACGCTCTGAGAGTGTTTCGGAAAGCTTTGGGCAGGCCGCGGCGCCCGAGACATCTTCCAGAGCCGCCGGATCTCAGAGATTCTCGATGTAGCCTCTACGCTGGTTGCGACAATGATCGCACCCGCCGTGGATCCGATGGCGGGGTTTGGCACGTGCTGTCGGAACGGCGGGTGGAGAGGGTTGGAGGAAGAGGAATAGGATGATGAGGGGGAGGAGGATGCAGCGGGCAGGATTGGGCAACCTCAGTCGGAAGTCTTATCCCCCCTTTGATTGGATGCCCCGTCCAGAGTAATCAGGGAGGGGTGTATCTCGTGGCCGCGGCCAGGATGTCTCTCCAGAGTTCACGGCCCCCTCTTATTTCCAGGCCTCCTAGGTGGGGTCCAAGTGGATGGGGTCGGAGGATCGCGCCGCATCGCCGATGCATCGCCAATGCGGCTCGATGTGGAGCCCGATTTGCTTCACGTCGACGTCGGCGATGCATCGCCGATGTCGACGATGCATCGCCAGTGCATCACCGATGCATCGCCGATGCATCGCCGATGTATCGGCGATGCGGCGCGATCCTCCGACCCCATCCGCTCCGACCCAATCCAGGAGGCCTCTATCATTGCAATGCGCCCCCTGGCCCTTCCCCCCTCCCCTGGGCCGCGCACGTGCCTCGGGCCATGATTTGCGAACCCCCCTCTTGGACGCCTCCCTCCGGACGCCCCCGAACAACGAAAATTCGCCGGAGTGCTTGTCGCCGCTGTCGGCCCGTGGGGGGGCCCCCAGAGAGCCCGTGACTGTCCACGAAGTTTCGGGACGAAGCGCTGGACGCTGGGCAGGGGGGGCGGATCGAAGAACAACAATCACCATAAACATATTCTTTTGGCGCTCCGCGAGGATTTCTTCGATTAGCTGTGGACCCCCCTCCCTGGCGCGCGGAGCGCGCCAGGGGCGGTGCCAGAGGCGCCGCAGGGGGTTCAAGCGTAGGTCCAAGAATCCGCGCGGAGCGCTAAAAGTATGTGTTTATGGCGTTTTGTCTTCTTCTATTCAAGGGCCACGCAGCGAAACTCCTTGGTCGCAGCGGTGTCGTGCCGCGCACCGCGTCCGCAGCCTGACCAGGGGCTCTGCCAGGCGAACCATACGGCAGCAGGCGGGAGACTGACGACGGCGGCCGCGGAGGAGGAGGAGGAGGTGGAGGAGGAGGAGGAGGAGTTGGAGGAGGAGGAGGAGGAGGATCAGGAGGAGGAGGAGGAGCAGGAGGAGGAGGAGGAGGCGGAGGAGGAGGAGGAGGAGGAGGCGGAGGAGGAGGAGAGAGAGACAGTCGGCACACTCCCCGCGTCGACGCGGATCAGTGCACCGGATCGCTCGCGCGAGCGCCGTCGACGTCGAAGACGACGAGGACCGACGACGACGACGACGACGACGGCGAGGGCCGTCGAGGGCCGACGGCGGCGAGGGACCGCCGAGGGCGCTCCCTGGTCGGGGTTGTCAGTGGCTGTGCACGCTCGTGCTCCTGCCTCTCCCCCTCCTCTTCCTTTTCTCCCACCTTTCCCTTCCCTCTGCCGGGCGCCCGGTGGCCGGGCCTCACCCCCACGGGGGGGCACGGGCCAGGCCTGAATGTTCCATCAGGGAGCCGTGCAAATACCCTCAGCAGACAGCTGGCTGCCGCAGCCCGGCGGCTGCACCGTGCGGCCACAGGGGCTGTATTGGTGCAGCTGCCGCACCTGACGCGGCGGTAAGCTTCGAGTGAACGCCCAGACAGGCGAGTAAGCAGGGAATCCAGGGATTTCCCCTTCCCTCTTCCCTCTCCTCTCCTCCTCTCCTCCTCGACTTCATTCGCCCCGCCTACGTACTGGAGCCCATGGGGCACGACGACGGCTCAGACCGCGAGGACTGGGGGGGGCAGTTTTTCTCTATGGTTTGCACTCTCTGGGGCTCTGGAGGCCTCCAAGGATCGGGGACTCTGGATCCCTCCTCCGCAAGCTCTGGGTTCCCAGGCCGTCTCGTGAGGATCGCAACGGCCCATCTGTTCTGGCCCGTCCACCGCGAGCCAACGGTCGCCCGGTTTGCTCTTTTTCAGCTGAGGCAGAGCAATGCAAACACCTCGGCATCGGCGGAACAGACTTCTTCCAGGGTGCGTTCTAACCAGCACTTCAAGACGGATGCGGCCGTGGCGACACGAAGCCCTCCAAAGGACAAAAACCTTGATGCTCAACCTCGATCCTCGAACCTACTTCGATTCTCCTCATTCCTCCTCGTGGCCCCAAGAGACCCCCTAGAGGCACCCAAGATGCTCCAAGAGGCCTCGGCGAGAATGCCAAATAATTGATTTTTCTTCTAAGGCTTTAGTCACATGCTGGCCTCTTGGGGGGAGTACTGATTAAGATGACTCCAAGAGCGCCTCGGAGAGCCCAAGATGACCTCCAAGATTGCTGAATATATCCCAAGATGTCTCATAATGGCTCCCACGATGCTCCAAGATGCACCAAGACCGCTCCAAGACGGCTCCAAGTGGCCAAAGAGCTCCCCCAGGAGGCACCGAATAGACCAAAACCTTAGGAGCATCAAGGTATTTGGTTTTCTCGCCTTTTCGCTTCCGATGGCCATCCGAGGCCTCAAGATGGCTCCAAGATGGCCCAAGAGGGCTCCACGAGAGGCTCAAGAGAGCCCCAAGACGGCCCCAAAAGCACTCTAAGAGCGCTCAAAGAGCGCCCGCAGAGCGCCCCAAGAGGCGATGTTTTGGGCTCCCGAGGGACAACGCTAAGTAATGCTCGCTTCTTGTTTGATCGATGTCCTCCTAGATGGCCCCAAGAGCGCTCCCAAGGCTCCCAAGAACGCTTCAAGAGGGCCCCAAGAGGAAGAGACCCCCAAGAGGCCCAAAGAAGCTTTCCGAGGCACCCAAGACGCTCCAAGAGGCCTCCACTGGGGGACCCTTCCTCTGTGTGCTGCCCTGGGCATCGTAAACCGAATTCCGAGGCGGGTGCAGCCGTGGCGACAAGCTTCCCGTGGAGGCCCAGCAGGGGTAACAAAACGCGCAACAGACGAGGATGAGGAGGACGGCGGCGACGACGGCGACGACGACGACGACGACGGTGACGACGACGACGACGACGACGACGACGACAAGGACTACAACTATGACGACGACAACGACGACGACGACGACGGTGACGACGACGACGACGACGACGACGACGAGGACTACAACTATGCCGACGACGACGAGGACAACGACGACGACGACGACGACGACGACGATCCCCTCCGGAATGCAGGTGGTCCCGGCGGCGGGCACGCCTGCGGCGCAGCCGGCCGCGCCGGTGCTGCCGCTGGGGCACACGGTCAAGCAGGTCCAGGTGAAGCAGTCCTGCGTGGGGTGCCCCGCGGTCGCCATCGTTCGGGGGCCCCCAAACGGGGCGGTGACCACACCGTGTGGGGAGTCGGTGGGGATTCGGGGTCACCGCACGGTTTCGGGACTCGGGTCGTTCTCCGACGACGTCTCGGGCGACCGCTGACGGACCGTGCGGTGAGGTCTTGGGGGGGTTCGAGGTCACCGCAGGGTCTGTCACCGCACCGTTTCGGGACTCCAAAATCGCCAGGGGCACCGAGCGGGGTGGAGACAGTCAGGTCAAGGCGTTGACATGAGGACCGCTTTGGGGTCGGAAGCGGCTCGCTGTTCCTTCGGTCGTGCCGTGATTGTGCTTTTGGCCTTCCTCGAGCACTCGAGCTCTTCTGGTGCAAACAAGGGGGCTCGTTTGTGACTCGGGCGCTCCTTGTTGCAGCAGCTTGACAGAAGGCTCAGGAGGGATGCATCGACACCCAATCGCCTGTTGACCGCCGATAGGGACCCGAGAGTCGCCTGGGAGCGGATGGAGTCAGACGTTCGTTATCGCGGGCCTCTTGCCGATCTATTGGCGATATATCAATCCTTCGTGGGCTGCCCCGGCGCGCACGGCTGAGGATCGGCTGTCTCGCCGCGCGTCGGCCGTTTTGCGATCGATGCGCAGGGCGAGGGCCGGACTACGATGCGCCACGTCCTGCCTGCTTTCAGTCTTCTTCCGAGGATTCGAATTTTCTTGAATTGTCCTCTGTCAAGCAGTGGCGAAGCGTCCTGGTTCGCCTAAAGTCCTACCAAGCACTGTTCTAAGAACCGTTTGTGGTACCCACGAAATGTTCTTAGAACATTGCTGGTTGGGACTGTATTGTTTCATCACATCGGGTTTATGTTCTAAGAACATTGTTTTTGTTCTTAGAACATGTTTTGCTTCTATGGACATTCCGTGGTAGGACTATAGGACTGCTGGGACGGTCGGTCCCTGCTGAACTCTTGGGGCCACGTTTCGGACTTCCGTGTCTGTCAGAACTCGTTCTGGCATAAATATTTACCCAGGAGAGCTCCTAGCAAGGGGCTGGGGAGCAATCTTGTAGAGGACTAGGGTCACAGGATCGAGTGCTCCAGGCGTTTGGGTGTCTTGTCTGAATGTTTGGGCCGCCTGTGTGGGGGGGCTCGTCATCACTGTTGGTCTTGGGAACGCCTTACGGCCGGTGCAGCCAACCCTGAAGGGGAACGACGACCACGGCGGCGTCGGCGACGACGACGCTGACGTGGGGCAGAGTCTTCAGTGATGCTTCGTTGGGCCTCTTCGGAGCTCGCTCGTAGGCCTCTGGGGGACTGTTTTGGGGCCCCTTGGGGGCATCTTGGAGGCCTCTTTGGAGCCTCATTGAAGCCCTTGGGCTTCCTGGGGGGCTTCTTGATGCCTCCTGGTAGCTTCTCGGGGCCGAGGGCTTAAGTATTCGTTCGGGCTCCCGTGTGGGCACCCTCTTGGAGCCTTTTTGGGGGCCTCTTCGGCAGTCTGGGCTGCCTCTACGTCCGTCTTTGGGCCCTCTTGCGTCGTTTTGGGGCCGTCTTGGAAACGTCTTGGGGGCCTGCATTTTGAGCTGTATTGGGGCCGCGGGAAGCCGACTAGGCTAGAACGGCAGAATCTCTCAAAAACCCTGGAGGAAAACATGTAGTTTTGCTTTGCTTTGGGGGCCCTCTGGGCGCGCTCTTGGGAACCTCCTCGAGCGTCCTGGAACCCCCTTGGGCTGTCAGGAGGCCATTTCTGGCGTCTTGGACCCAATGTTCGGCGATTTGGGGTCTGGGGGCCCGTTGGGCTGTCTTGGGTTTTTTCTGGGCTCCAGGACCCCCTGGGGGAGGATGGTACTCGAACCCGGGACCCCCCGAGGACCCACCATGGGATCCTTCCCCGTTCCCCCTTGGGGGGAAGGGATCAAATGGAAGGGGCGTCCCTTCGACTCACCTGCGACGTTGCTCAAGTTCGCCTTGGTTTCGCGTTGGCTGGCTCGCTTCAGGAGGAGGGCCCAGTGAAAGTGGGGGGGAGCGGCGACGGGCCCAGAGGGGGGTCAAGCGAAACGGCGACGACGACGACGACGACGACGACGACGACGACCACGACGACCACGACGACCACGACGACGACGACGACGACGACGACGACGACGACGTCGAGTCAAGCAGAACAGCGTCTTCGCACGGCATCCTGTGCGGGGGGTGGTCGTCACCACTGTTGGCATTAATTTCGTGAAATTGGGGGCAAGGGACCAGAGAGATGTCTTGAGGTCGCAATGGAGGATGCAGGGCGCCGAAAGTGGCCCGTCAGCGCCACTCCTCGATTTTTTCTCCCGCGCAGGATCTCGGGAGGATATCAGGGACAGCGTTGCAGTGGGGGCGCGCATCGAGAAGCCATATGCTATTCGTCAGGGTATTCTGGGTTTCTTCGCTCCGCGCGCTGCGCGGTGACTTCCCGCAGTCGTTGAAGAAGCTGCTGCGTTCAGGGTGCTCTCGGCTTCCCCTCAGATGCACCTCGCGCGGGGGTTTTCAGGGTTCGGTTTCTTGCGAGAGTTTCTTGCGGCCGCGCCCGCACTCTATGCTGGGATAGGCTCCTGGAGGAAAGCATCGACACCCAATCGCTCTCTGTTCGCCGACACGGGGCACGATCGTGGGCATGATCGCCCACTGCGGATTCGCTACCGGGGCCTGTCGCCGACAGATCGGCGACGCCTCGCCGATCCCGGGTCGACATTTCCCTCTCTGAGCAGGTCCCTTTCCTAACGTTCCCCCTCGTTCGGGGACCTCGCAGAGGACGCATTGGAACGTACCGAGACGCCCGAAGACCTCGATCCTCGATCGCCGGCGACGATGACGACGAAGATCTTCGATCGTCGATCGACGATCATCGATGCCGTCCATCGTGGACCGACGACGTCAACCCTCGACCATCGACGACGATCGCTGTCGGGAGGGCGACTCCGCTCCACCCGCCGCCGGAGGTACATCATCGGCAAGGGCGGCGAGACGCTGAAGGGGATCCAGGCGCAGAGCGGGGCCACGGTGCACATCGACCAGAGCACCAAGGACGCTCTGTGCCTGCCGCCCCTCCCGGGGGCCTCATCGTCCCCTGCTCCAGGGAGGGGGAGGGCCGCGATCTTCCGGGTGCCAGGAGCAACGACGATCGAAGACCTTGTATACACATACGACTAGACACATGCATGCATACGCACCTCCACATAAATACATACGTACGTACGTACGTACATACATACATGCATGCATGCATACACACATACATACATACATACATACATACATACATACATACATACATACATACATACATACATACATACATATACATACATACATACATACATACATACATACATACACACATACATACATACATACATACATACACACATACATACATACATACATTCATTCATTCATGCATACATACATAAATACAGACAGACAGACAGACAGACAGACAGACAGACAGACAGAGACAGACAGACATACATACATTTATGTATATCCATATGTACATACGCGCGTGCATGCATACGTACATACATGCATGCATGCATACATACACACGTACGTACGCACATCCATACACACATGTATCCATACACACATATATGTAGATGTACATGTATACACACTCTTATGCACACGCATCTACAGTTTAAACCGTATCTTTAGGTATGGAGCCAGACGGCGAAGACGAGGTACTTAGAACGTGACGACGGTTCATGCGGAAGCGATGCAGGCACACACATGGACAAGGGCGAAGTTCAATGGGTCGGGGGGCGAGGACGGGGAGGAGCAGGGAGCATGGAGGTGGAGGAGGCAGCGTGCAGGAGGGAGGAAGATATCTATGAGACAACTGGGCAGGATAAGATTTTGACGCCCAAACGGGGGATATAAAAGAGAGAGAGAGAGGGAGCGAGAGAAACACATCAAAACAACTAGAGGAATGTAGAGAGGGATATTTACATACAGAGAGAGAGAGAGAGAGAGAACGAGAACGAGATAGGGATGCTGAGACAGAGAGAGAGAGAGAGAAGGAGAGGGAGAGAAGGAGAGATAGAACGAGAGAGAGACGGCAGAGGGAAACAATTACTGAACACTCCCCCTCCCCCCCAAACTCAATGTTGGCACGCGCGGGGGGCACTGCGGTCGAAGTGCATCTCGTCGGACCCACCGCCAACTTTGAACATTGGGGGGAGGATCAGGAGTTGACGGATGAATGTGGCATGAGTGTTCGCTAATTTGTTCCGAGGGTTGTGGGCGCGTTGCCCGGCACGCGGTTGCCCTCGAACTGATTGGGGCGCAACAAGACAGGAAGAGGTACACGGGGAAATACTCGAGGGGAGGACCGGGGAGGAGTCATCTAAATCACTACGAAAATCAGAGGCCAAAGCGGCTGCATGTTGTTATGTCTAGCGCCTCCCCAACGGCCCCGGGTCCCCCCGAAAGCGTTTCGCGCGTCTGTTTCTTTGTCACGTATATTTGCCATTTGTTTCGCGCATTTGCCTCGTATCACTCGTCCCATTACTCCTCATTTCTAACATATTACTCGTGCCACTCGTAAGAGAAAGAACTTATTCCAAGAAGATCTATGTTTTTTCTACGAGTGATACGAGTAATATGGAAAAATGAAGAGTGATGGGACGAGTGATACGAGTAATATGTGAAAAGTACGGCGCGGGACGACTCGGGCGCCAGAACATTGGAAAAGGGGAGGTGTGTGTGTCTCTCTCACTTTATATCTATATACACAAATGTATGTACATTATATATATATATGTATATATGTATCCATACATATTTACATAGAAATACACGCATTATACATATACATGTACACGTACATACACACATACATTTACGTATTCATATACACATGCATATACATATTATATACATATACTATACATATACATAGACATGTATATATAAACATGTGTACACATACATACATACATACATACATACATGCATGCATACATACATACATACATGCATGCATACATACATACATACACACATACATACATACATACATACAAATACCTACACTTACATACACACACATATATAATCATGCATACATACGTATACATATCATAGTGGCCTCGCAGAAATCCCAACCCGCAGAGTCGCTCGGCCAACTCGCAAATGACGGGGTAAAGTAGAAGATGGGACGGCAGAGGGAAACAATTACTGCACACTCCCCCCCAACAACTCAATGTTGGCACGTGCGGGGGGCACTGCGGTCGAAGTGCATCTCGTCGAACCTACAGCCAATTTTGAACATTAGGGGGAGGAGGAGGCGACGACGGATGAATGTGGCATGAGTGTTCGCTAATTTGTTCCGAGGCCTGGGGAGAGAGACGACCAGGATGTCCGTCACCCTGGTCGCATGCCCTTCGGAAAGCAGTCCTCGGCTGTCACAGCGGCCCTCGCCCCTCCCCCAAATCGTCGGCCGCCAGGCATCGCCCAGCGTGCGCTCTGGCCAGGATCCGGGGGCGGATTTTTCCCCGTCGCGGCGACGGGAAGCCTCCAGGGAGCCCAGGCGAGCTAGAATTAGGTCGGGCCTGTCCCCCTACAGGAGGAATATTCAAACATAGTTTAAACAAAGAGTCTGGGGACTATTTGTTGAGCATCTTTCGACCATTTCGGAGTATTTTGATTGTATTTTTAATTTTTCGTCGAAAATCTCCCTGCAGGGGGAAACGCCCGACTTAAAGCTAGAAGGTGTCAAGAGGCCCCGCATATTTTTCAGAATGGTCCTCGTTCCTGCTGCGTCGTTCTGATTCTCGTTCCTTGGCCTCGCTCGGACGTGTGCACGGTCTTCTCGGCGAGGACCATCGAGGCGCATCTAGGATCATGCTGCGGCAGAATCTGCGCACGAAGCCGAAGCATCCATGGGGAATGGACGTCCGAGCGATGGTAAGGCTCCTGAAAAGGAAGCTGTCCCGATCTTCGCTTCTGAACTTCGGCGGCGGCGCGGCCGCGGAGAGCGCGGCGGAGGGACCGCGGTCGAGGAGGGAGAATCCAGCAGGAGGGCGGGAGATGAGGGCGGGGAGAGTCCAGCAGGAAGGAGACGGGGGAGGGCGACGAGGGGGGGGAGAATCCAGCAGGAGGGAGAGTCCAGCAGGAGGGCTCGTTGCGCTCGAGCCCTGTCCGGTCTGAGAGTCGAGGGCGCACGAGGCGAGGGCCTGCATGGAGGGAGCGAAGAGGGGGGCCGGGCACGACCCTGCCTTGGCGTGCTTCGTCCCTTTTTTTTGGGGGGGGGGAGGGGGGCGGTCCTGGAGGCTCCTCGTCGCCACGCCTGGACCCCGCGCCGGAAAAGACTGGCATCGCTCGGGCGTGTTTTTTTTTGTTTTCTCCCTGAGGAGGGCCATCGGGGAGTATCCTGCGAGCATCTCGCGGAGGCAACGCGCGCACGAAGTCGAACAGTGCATGGGGATTGGGCGTCCGAGCGATGGCAGGACAACAGGTGAGCGACGCCCCAAAAAGAACGGGGTCGTCTGCGCGGACCTTGGCGCGTGAGCTGCCCGCGTAAGGTCGCGTCGTCTCCCATGTAGCGTGTTTCGCGCCGACGGCCCGCGCAAGCCGCGGCGTAATGTCGCCGTGCCATCTCGCGCAGGGCCCCTCGTTGATCGTCGCTCGGGCCAGGATGGACCCCAGGAGGAGTCTGGGGACCGAGTTGGGCGGTTTTTGACAGGGCGGGAGAGCCGCCGCTGTCTTCTTGGGCCCTCCTCCGAGAGAAGGTGCTATGTCGCAGCCGTCCTGGAAGCGAGAAATCGCGGCAGGAGCAGGGGGCAGGAGGATGGGGACGAGGAGGAGGGGCAGGGAGGAGGCGGGGCACGCGGAGGTGGAGGACGACAATGGGGACGCTCCAATTTGGGGTTGGGCGCTTTCTGGCCACACCTCGGGGGTAGCGAGACACAACGTATTCTGTTCGTGTCGGACGTGCGCCTCCAGCACCATCACGTAGTACGAGTAACTGATGCACCGCAGGGTCGTGTCGTGCCGACGCGGGAAGCTACCCCGCCGCGGCCGCTCAAGGTTGAACGCCGCCAGTGGCGCAGAGTCGGCCAGCATGGGACGATCCAGCAATCGAAAAGCCGCCCATCGTTCCAGGCTGAGCGATCCACGCCGTGTCCGAGATTCACTGACTCGGGGGTCGTCAAGACACGAACCTGCGGTATGTCCCTTTGCGTCCCGCGGTCCGCGCCGGCGGCGACGAGGCTGATTGGCGCGAGGCCCTGCGTGCGCGCCTCGTGGCCTGGCCGGGGCCCCCAGATCGAGGCCGGTGCATGTGCATGGTGCGGCGTCGCGTCGGGCCGCCGCGTTTTTCCCCCTCCCCTTCCTCCCCCCTCCCCCTCGCCGCAGGGCTTCTTCCGCTGGTACCCAAAAAAGTGCGTGCCACTCGACCTTGCTTTAAATCGGGCCTGTCCCTCTACAGGAGAGATATTCAAACATTTACGAAGTAGTCTGGTATTTGTTTTTGAGTATGGTTGGGCATCTTTTGATCATTTTTTATTATTTTTTGGTTTTTCTTCAAAAGTCCCCCAGTGAGGGGTGAGGGGACAGGCCCGACCTAAACCTTGCTCGAGGCCCTCCCCCCCCCCCCGAGCGGTGGAGGAGCTGGGCTACAGCCTGGTGCGCCTCACCGGGCCGGAGCAGGCGGTGGCCGCGGCCGAGGCGCCCGCCGCGTGCCGGGCCGAGGGCGGCCAATGGATGGGGGGAGGCCTCGCCGTGCACCAGCGGGGCCCAAAATTCAGGCGATCGCAAGCATGGATTGAGGGGGCGTGGATTTGCGAAGGGTCCCGTTTCCATGGGAAATCGCGGATGTCGGCCGCAGCCGAGCGAGGCGGCATCGGCCGCATTGTGGGGAGGGCACCTCCCCCGATCCATGGATTTAGCGACCGCGCGCCAAATCCATGGATCGCTAATCCATGTTTGCGCGCCCCCGATTCTGGGGAGTGGAAGGCGGCGGCGTCCAGGGAGGCAGGGAGACTTAACAGAGACACCCGCCAAGCTTCCAAGAAGGGCCCAAAGAGGGATCGGCGCGAGGGCGGGTGGGCGTCCAGGAAGTGGAAGGCGGCGGGGCGTCCAGGGAGGCAGGGAGACTTTTTTGTTCTCCTCCCCCCCCAAAAACGGGCGTCTAACAAGGCTTCTTCGTAGAAGCCTCCAGGGCCCAGGGCCAACGAAGACAACCGCAGGGCTTCTAGCAAGGCCTCGTAGTAGAAGCCTCCAGGGTCCAGGGCCTTCGGGGGTGCCCCTCGCCTTCTCGGAGGGCCGCCCCCCTCGCGCCGCCCCCCAACGTGGGCGCCGCCGCCCGGAAGAGAGGGGCCCCGGGGGCCACGGGTCGTGGGGGCCCTTCGCCGTGCTCGGGCTCGTGGGGCCATGCTCGGGCCCCAGGGCCGTCAAAAGTCGGAGGCGGCAAAGAGGGGGGTGGTGACTAGGGGGGGGTGGATATCATGGCGTGGGCCATGATACTTCCACAGATTTCATGGCGCCTCTTCTTATGTCATTACGTCCCTGGCCCCCCCGCTGGGCCGCGCACATGCCGCCGGTCATGATTTGCACCCCCCCCTCTTGGACACCCCGCTCTTGGCCGCTCCCGAAAAAAGTGTCTCGGGACGGAGGCGACGAAGACAAAACACATGTCCGCTGTCCTTCACTTGTATTATAAATTATAACATGGTCCGTGGCCCGGCAGGATCCGATCCAGACATGCTGTGTTCGAAACGCCCAGAACCGCTTAACAAAACTTTGTGCGCACTTTCCGCAGCGGATCCGCACCTGGATCCGCTGCCCCCGACGCCCGCGGCGAGGTTCAGACTCCTGGCCTGTGTCAGAGCCCCGAGCCATCAGGGCCGAGGGTGGTCAGGGGTAGCTACAGATTCGCGCCTCGGGTCTCCAAGGTGGAGTTACCCTGTACCGCAGCGATCCCAGAGAATTTGGGCGTTGCGTAATAGGGAGTTCATCAATGGGGAAGTGCCGAGGGTGGAACGAAAAAGTTACCCAATCGGTATCTGAACGAGCCCCCTGGGGCTCCAGAGGGGCCCGAAAGGGGGACGTTTCTGATCCCCCCATTTTATGACGCTCCCATGAAGCCACGCCTAAATCATTCGCTCGCCCAATTCTTGACTGTATCCGGGGGACCTTACGCTCGATTTTTTGGGGGGGCCCGGTGCTGCGCCCACCGCCCGAGAGCTGCCTCCGACGCCCCTTTCCGCCAACCTGGCTGGGCCGACGGCCACCGTGGCTGGCTGGGCCGACAGCCAGGTAGCTTGGTGCGATGTCTGGACTGCGGGGCGGATTCGCAAATCGTGCCACGGTACCTGACTGTAACAAGGGGCGCGGTTGGTCCTCAGGGGGTTCCCTCTCGTCTCGGTTGGATTCTTTCCGGACTTCGGACCAGGAAGCGCCCCTGAATAGGCCAGGGTGTGGATTTTGGGCTCCTGGTCCGCCAAAAGTTGACGTTGGAGGACCGCTTGTGCTTGCTATCTTCTTTTGCCTTGGCCTTGGCGGCTTCCAAGATTATTCTCGTCGCCACGCTTGGACCCGGCCCAGCATTCCTCTCAACGTTCGCCCTGGGCGGTCACGGGGAGGTTCCGGGGAGGCCTCTAGGTCCCCCCACTGGAGTCTGAGTGGACGGGGTCGGAGGATCGCACAGCGTCGATGATGCATCGGCGATGCGGCTCGATGCTTGGCTGGGCTCTCCAAGCCGGCCGTGCCCGTGCATCGCCGACGTCACCGATGCATCGGTGAAGCATCGGCGATGGCGCGATCTCCCGACCCCCATTTACGTCGACCCTATTTGGGAAATTTCGGAGGCCCCTCATGAGGCCTCCGAAGGCTGACCTTGCAGCATCGGCGTCCCTGATCAATGAACGAGGAATTTCCCAGGGACGACATGTTTCCGAAGCTTGCACCCTGAGGCATATGGCGAGGGTTATTGTGTCAGTTTGCGTGCCTTCAGGGGTCCTGACCGCTTCCCCAGTGGTGCGTTTCCCAGTCGAGATCCGTTCCTGGAGGCCCTGCGGGGCCCAGGGGCGGCCACCAGGAGGAGGCTTGCGCTTTAGGCGTGTAATGCTTGAGACTGCTTTAAAAATTATGACCCCCACCGCCCCCCTTTCAGATCCCGAGTGTCATTAATTCGCTGCCGGAAAATTATTGTTGAAAGTGTCCCTCCTTGACAACATTCGCCGAACAGGCAACGCTGCTACGTACTCCAGATTTCGTAATAAAAGGGAGGGGGTCTGGACCCTCCAAGACAAGCCATTTCAGACCCCCCCCCCGTGGGAGAACCCTCCAAAACATCGTCCCCAGACCCCCTCAGGCCCTCCAAGATAGATTGGAAAAGACCCCCCCCGAAATGAGACCCCCCTCCCTTTATTACGAAATCTGGAGTACAAGTCACAGCTCGGCGTTACCAGAACTCGAATCCGTCGGAGGCCTGGGTGGCTCCCGCGGCTCGCCCTCGAGGGGCACCGGTGGGGGAGAAGCGTTGACACCCGATCGCCCACTCATCGCCGATCGTGGTCTTGGTGCCCCGCGCGGTCGCGATATCGAGGACTCAGCGCCGATCTGCTGGCGGTGCACAATGCGGATTCCAGGCCAACGCTTCCCCTTGGGCCAGTTCCCCCTTGCCGCTCCCCTTCAGGATCCGGGGGGAGGGGGCGTGGCCTGGCGGCCCCGCCTGGTGTTTCGCCCGGCGGCGGCTCTCGCCGCCAGGTCTCCTGCCTCCAGACCTTGCCGTTGTCAGTCTCAGGAAGCTCTTCTCCAGGGATTCGCGGGAGCCCCCGCCGCAAGGATTTCAGGAAGAGGGGGACCCCATAGGCGCTCTGGCAAAGAGCCCCGGTGCCCCGTAGTTTTCGCTTTTTCATCTGCGGAGGGGGCAGCCCAGCTGTCCTTCCTTTTCCTGTTCCTCGTCCTCCTCATCTCGTCTCCTCCTGCCTCGTTTTCTTGTGAATAACTCCTCGTGTCGTGCCCATCAGGCGTGCCAGTAGGGCGGGCTGGGCGTCTTGCCTGAGACTTCCTCGTTACCTGTGAACTTGAAGCTTGACATTTGCACCAGCTTCAAGGATTGAGGGCGGGCCGTTTTCAACATGTGGTGCTCGTCTTAGTGCCGCGTGCATTCGTTTTAGGTTCCGCAGCAGTTCCAAGGATGGAGGGTATTTCCTTTAAACATGTGGTTCTTGCCTTAGCGCCGCGAGCATTCGTCTTGCACGTTTGCAGCATTTTCAACGGTTCGTATGGTCAAACTCCCAGGAATTGTGTTTTTGGACGGTTGACGGTCTTCAGGACGCAATACTCACGTTGATTCGCGGTGCTGACATCCTAGGGATGGTGCTCTGGCCCTATTTCTGATTGTCAGGACGCAACAGTGCTGTTGATCTTCGGCGTTGAAGTCCCAGGCACGGCGTTTTGGTAAGATTGAGGACTCTCAATAGGCTGTCTTCTAATCGGCCACTTCCCGCAATGTCAGAAACTGTTCTAGGGACCGATGGAGGGAGCTTGGAGGGAGGGTCTATTGCAATGTCGTTGATGCGGCTTGGATTTATTTGCATCGTTCCTCCTCCTCCTCCTCCTCCTCCTCCGCCTTCTCTTCCCCCCACTCGGCTGTCGAAGCCCGAACCTGCCCCCGAGGCCTTCGTCACCAACAAAGTCGCCGAGGTGGAGCGGGAGAAGAGCGCCCGAGAGAGCACCAGCTCGGAGCCGCAGATCGCGGCGGCGGACGCGGCGTACGAGCTGAGGATGGCGTTTCGAGGGGAGAGGGGACAGGAAGGGAGGGACGGGAGGAGGAGGGAGGGCGGAGGAAGGAGGAGGTAGGACGGGGAGGCGGGCAGTGGGAGTGGGGAACTCTCTGGAGTTATAGGATCGCGGATTTTGTGTTTATCGACAGCCAAGTCTAAAATGTTTTGGAATGGGTCTTGTTAGGTCTTGGAACAAAAACACTTCTCTTGCACACGCTATGGCTGGATTAGGCGTTCCTCTCGGGAGCGCTCCTGGGCGGACCCTGGGACCCCACGTCCTGGGCGCCATGGGCTCGATCCTGACCAGGCCTGGGCGAGGACGAGGGCCGCGAGCAGGATCTCCGCCCCTTGTGCTCCAGAGGAGCATCTCCGCAAACGGACCGCGCGGACATCCTGTCCGAGCTGCTCCCCGGCGCGTCGGGCTTATTGGAGGTCGTGCCCAACGAGAAGCTGGGGTTGCTTTTCGAGCCAGAGGAGTTCCTCACCGAGCTGCGAGGGCGGCTGCTGCTGCAGGTCTACGACGCGGACCACTTTTGTCCTTGCTGCGACGAGCCGTGCGACACGCACGGGTGCCACGCAAGCCTCTGCGCCGGCGCGGGAGACAGGGTGTGTCGGCACAGCGCCGCGCGTAATTTGGTTTGACCATTCGCGGCCGCAGTCGGCTACAACCCAAAGTTGGAGAAGTCGTTTTTTTTGCCGCTGCGCCCAGACGATGACCGCACCAATGGCCGTGTCCCCGCCGACGTGTACATCCCGAGCTGGCACCAAGGCGCGCCTGCCGTTTTTGACTTCGCGGTCTCCTCACCGCACTGGCAGGCTGCCCTGGGGCTGGCTTCTTAAGGGATTGGATACGCCGCAAGCGCGTGCGAGGTGGTCAAGCGTACCCGCCTCGACACGGAGGCTCTCTGGAAGCAACAAGGGATCCTATTCACCCCCTTCTGATTCTGGTCGCAGAGCCTACGGGCGGCTAGGGCCCGACGGGGACCGCGACGTTCCGCCGTCTAGCAAGGGCCAGCGACGCGCGCCTGGACGATGAGCTGGGCGCTGAAGCGACGCGTCTCTTCCAGCACCTGTCGGTGGCTATCCAGAGGGCGCCCGCCCGCGTCATCCCGGGGGAGCGGTCGCAGCGGCCCAGGGCGTCCTCGCCGAGGAAGTGTTTTTTTTTGTAGTCCCCATTTTCCTCCTTCCTCCTCCTCGTCCTCCTCTTCCTCCTCCTCCTCCTCCTCTTCCTCCTCCTTGTTCTTCTCCCCTTCTCCATGTTTGGGCATTCCCTTGTGTACTGCGCAGGGCCCGAGGCGCCGAAGTTGCCGCCTACGGGTCCCATGTCTCGTCGTTCTCTCTTCCCCTGGCAAGCGCTCGCGCGTGGAACCCCCCTCACGTCAATTGGGGGAGTCTCCCGACGAGACTTGATTGATCGATCTTGGTTTGTCGCGCGCGCGAAGGCAACCACGGGGTTGCCGTTGCTGTTGCTGCCCTTCTGCGCGTTTCGCGCACCCCTTTTCTCCTTGCCCCATTGCGGCCGTTGACGCCTTGTTCCCATACACCTTTTGTTGTTCCTCCCCTTTCCCTCCACCAATGGGGGGGGGGCGGAGTTAACTGCGCGGCGCGACCCTTTCGATGCGCGGGCCAATAGCATTTCGCCCGCAGGCCTTTTTCGAGGCTTGACGGGAATATGTTGTGAATTCGTCGAGGGTTTCGTCGTGTAGGAGGTGACCATGTCTTGCGATGTGCCGATAAGCACCTTTTTGTTTAAAATTTCGAGGCGCTGCCCGCATGTGCGACCTGCCGCCTCGAAGCCGCCACTTCCATGTCTTTGGGCACCTTTCTCTGCGTGCGCCCGCTTCGGATGACCGCGCCGTCCACGAAGGTCCATAACCCAGCCCGCATGAGCGTGCGCCCGCTGAAAATTGGGTGAACAAAAGCAATTTCGCGGGGCCGACTTCAAAGAGAGTATCAGCTACAGTAGACTGGGTCGGCCATGTCGCCTCCTCGAGGGCCTCGTTCTGCTTGAGGTAGCGGGGCCCCGCGAGGCTGGCGCCGTCCATCTCCACGCCCCGAAGCTCACGCTGTCGCGCAGCTTCCCGGTGCCCCTGACCAGGGTGAGGCGTGTAATGCCGAGGTCGCGGCCTGACTCGTCCAGGCAGGCTTCGCTAGCCCCGCTCGCATGGCCGAATTGCCCCTCATCGCCGAGGCTTTCGCCGTGGACTACCGCCTGGCGGGGGGCGTGACCATGCCGAGAATTCGCCCACCCCCTGCGGGTTAAAAGCGAGCGCCCCCAGCGTCGCGCACTAAATCCCCGGCCATGCCCCCGCCTGTTGTTCGTAATGGATGATCGGAGGTTGGGGGATTGGAACGGAACTGACCCCAACGGGGAAATCGGTTTCGTTTTCGGTTCGTGTCGGGCGTGCGGGCGAAGCGAAGCTGCGCGAGGTCCACATCCATAGTAAAGGCCATGGATTGCCAAAAGCGCCGCTCCCCTATCGCCGGGCGCGGCCCCTGGTTGTCCCGGCTGTTGTCCGGGCGGTTGTCCCGATGGTTGTGGTTGTCCCGCTGGTTTTCCCGATGGTTGCCCCGGTGATTTTCCCGATGGTTGTCCCGATGGTTGTCCCGACGGACATAAAGATGTTATTAGATGTTGTCCCGATGGTTGCCCCTATTGTTTTCCCGATGGCTGTCCCGATGGTTAATAAATGGATACGTCGATAAAGATATCTATATACATAGAGGTATGTATAGAGATATGGACATGCCGAGAGATAAGCATATATCATATGTACATATATACATATATATATATATATATACATCCTGTATGTATGCAGATACAGACTGTTTGATATATATCTGTGTATATGGAGAAGTATGTTTTGACATGTATATGATTATATATAGATATATTGATTGATTTGTTGGTTGGTTGCCTGTTAGACTGATAATGGTAGGTAGACAGAGACAGAGAAAGTTGGGTGCCCTAAGCCATAAGTAGATCTGCAGGTCGATAGATAGAGGGGCAGATGTGCGCGACAATAAATAACTGAAGGAACCACCAAAGAACCCAGAACCATCGCACATCGACCGCCTCCCTCTTCCCCCAAACCTCTTTATCACCCGTGGGATGGTCCTGTCGGTATCGGGTACATCCCGCCGCGCCTCCAACGGCAGACGCCTGATGTTGTGTAAGTTGAGGCCGTCGGCTCATCTCGCCACGCTGGGGCTGGTGGGCGGCACCTTCGGGCTCATCAATGGTGGTGGGTTCGAGGTCCTCTTCGCGTGCTCGAAGGCGTTGCCGTCGAAGTGCTTGCTGTATGTCGTGCCTGCTGTCCTGGGGGTCCGTCCAGGAAACTGCCCACCTGGCGGGTCTAGCGCGCATGAAGATTTCAGGGTCCGCCAAGGGTGCGCCGTTCTCGTGCTGCTCGTAGGCGGGCTGCCCGCCTTCCTTGACAGGTTAGGTGAGGTTTGTTCATCCACATCTGTTTACATTTTTCGCCCATCGGTTGCGACGTGGACCCTCTTGCCACTGCCAGCGCTAGGTCGCCGTCGATCTTCTCCTGAGCACGCTGGCGCCAGCCTTCGCAGCCTGCAGCGCGTAGCCGTCTGCTGCGTTCTGGTATGGCCCCCTGCCGCCAACGCTCTGCCATCCCAGCCGCAGCAGCCCCTGGTAGTCTGTGCGGAGGTCGGGCTTTGTCCTCTCCTGCGGCCTCGTGTCCGTCTGGTCCGTGCGCGGAGCGTGAGGCGTCGCGTGAGTCCTCCTCCTCCTCCTCCTCCTTAGGCAAGCTCGTACGGATCAGTGTTGGTTGAGTCATGTGATTGCGTCTTGGTGTGGTTTTCCCCCGCTGCCACCGTGTCGGACAGCCGCCGCCTCGCCCACGGTACTCGCCAGCCCCTTCAGAGTCGGTGCTATCGTTCGTGGTGGCCGCGTCCTCCGAGGCCGTGGCCCAGGCTGCGCACTCGCCCTCGAGCCTCCTCGATAAAAGGGACTGACTGGGGCCGTGGACGAGGAGCGGAGGTCGACTGCCTTTACCTCATTTGGCAGCGGCGGTGGCGTAGCCTGCTGCTTCGCAGTGAGCCAGATGTTCTAGGCCTCCTAGATGGGGTCGGAGTAGATCGGGTCGAAGGATCGCGCCGCATCGCCGATGCATCGCCGATGCGGCTCGATGCGGAGCCCGATTTCCTTCCCGCGGACGTCGCCGATGAGTCGCCGACATCGCGGATGCATCGCCGTTGTATCGCCGATGCGGCGCGATCCTCCGACCCCATCTACTCCCACCCCACCTGGGAGGCCTCTAGATGTTGTCGACAAACTCGTACTGGAATGCTGGTGGAGGCAAGTGTGCTTCCGCCGATTCTATGATGTCATATTCCTGCGGCATGTGAACTGGTAGTGGTTCCCGCCGTTGTTCTCGTGCAATTGCCTTATGCTTACTGTTCTTGGACTCGTGGTCTGGCTTCTTCTTTGAGGGTTCAACCTAAATTCCTATGCCACCAAGCCTCCATGCCGCCAGGGATGTGTTAAGGATGAGGCCCAGGTGAGTGCGCCAGGCGACGCGCGTCTCGGTCGCGAGCTCCACTCCAGTAAGGTCCTTCTCGTACCATCGCTTAATCAATCACGCTGTCCTTGCCTTTGTCGCAGGTGACCTCTACATCTGGCTTGCTCAGCTTGCCGCCTAGCATCTGTGGGATGCCCTTGCTTCGACTGCGCCATTGGCCATGCTCTCCAAACCGCTAAGGTCACCCACGGGCCTACCGAGAATCGTTGCCGAGGATTTGAGTTTGTCGTAATTGGTTCCCTTCATGCCCTCCTTGGGGAATGGGGTAAAGGTACGGGCTGACGGCGATCGGGCTATCTACCCGTTCTGCGATGGATTTGCATCGCAGAGAACCCTCGGAAAAGGGGGTCATTCGCCCCCGTCGCCGTCATAATCCGTCTCATCTTGCCGTACGTGGTGTTCAGCAGGAGGGTCTTCGAGGTGCCTGACTCGCCTTCGCTTTTGTCATCCTGTGAACGTCCCGTCGCCGTCGCCGCTGTCGCAGCCGCCTTCAGCCATCCTTGGTCGGCTGCTGCTTGAACTTGTCCGTGCCACGCGGCCCGATGTGGGCCCCCGTGAAAGCAGAAACGTCGGCCAGCGTGTGATTTTCAGTTATGAGTGCGTGATTTTTTTCTCCCCACACGTGGTGATCCTGTTGAAGAACACGTTCGTGATGCTTGCGTCCTTCTCCGTGACGTGTTGCTTGGGGGAATCCGCGTTGAAGCTTAGGTTGAGGAGGCCCAGCATTGCCAGCAGCTGCGCCAGCCTGCTGCTCCAATTTCTGCACGCCGCCCTTGCCGTTGCCCTCGGCGTGTCCCCGCCGTGGTTTCCCCCCTTTCGCTTTCGCCTCCTCTCCCCGCCCGTTTCCTGCCAGACCGCCCTTTTAGCGCCAGCCGTTTTTATTTTTGCGCCCTCCCGCGCTGGAGCGATTCGGGTTCAGTCGGGGTTGTCGCTTCTTCGCGCGCGCTGGGTGTATTTTGCCATTGCTGTCCCACCCCCCCCGCGTCGCGCCCGCGCAAAGGGCGGGGGGGGGGCGGCGCCCTTGGCGCGCAGGAGGGTCCTCCTCCGCGTGCCCTCGCGCGCGCCGGCGCCCGCCCAGACGGCTGCGGCGCGCGCGCAAGGCGCGTCGAATTTGTCGCGCCTCTCTATTTGAAGGGTTGTGCGTCGCGCCACCTCGTCGCGCTGTTGGTGCGACAAGGTGGCGCGACGCGGAGGGGGGGGGGGGGCAAAACAAAAAAACATATTGTCGCGCTGGCGGTGCGCGGCGTGCCCCCCCCCGCGCAAGCTGAAGCGCGGCATGCCGTTGCGGCGCGCGCCAGCGGGTTGTCTCGAGCTGGTCGTCTCCGTTGTTGCGTCCGCGTTAAAGGGGCCGAGTGGTATTCTGGCACTTCCTCGCGCAATGCCGCCTCCGATCCACATCTTTTAGATATCCAGAGGAGCCCGCATTCACAGGAAGGTTCGGGGGGCAGCTCAGCCCAACAATGTCTGAGGTGAGGCATGCGGGCATCAAACGACGCGTCGATTGCAGTTCTGACGCTGGCGAATCGCGGTCGCAATCGTATAAACAAAACACTTTGGCCAGGGAGGCGCTGGAACCCCAGGTCACGATTCTGTGTGCGGGCTCAGGCACCTTCCGCAATTCACAAGCCCAGAGCCTACCTCACTGTGCCTACTTACGACAGATGGCCCATCGAGGCCGAGTTCAAGACACGGCTCAAGGAGCCTAGTACATACTTACGCAGGACGAAAGATTTTCCTTTTGAGGTGAAAATGGCCATGAGGAGTTCGCGAGACAACGTCGGCGCCGCCGAACGGACGGCGACCGGACGAGCTGTTTGCAGCAATTCGAGGGAATGTATGTATGTATTCATGTTGAATGGAGCCCGCTCGCGCGGGGAGTTGATGGGAGTGCGCGAGACGACGCAGGGCCCATCGTGGAAAATTGATTACCGAACCCCCCTCCCCATAGAATCTTACCGCGGGCGGTTTGCGGGGTCCGCGGATCCGATTTCTTCCGGCTCCCTGGTTTAATTTAATAATATAAATTTAAAACAGGGTCGAAATCGGATCCGCCGTAAAAAATAAGACCGGACACGGATCCAGCTAATCCGAAATCGGATCCGTACGGACGGAAATCGGATCCACCGAAACAAACGCCAAAATCACAGTTGGATCCGCGCGAGCTTCATGAGATCCGACGGCGGTTATCTCATACGGGTTCTGATCAAGACTTCACACCGTCTTTCCAGGCCCAAGAGGAAAAAACTTTCGTCCTGGGGATGTAGTATCCATATAACGTAAGTCCGCGTTCCCTGGCTAAGCAGGTTCCTTTTTTATATCTCTGTTTGTAGCCTAGCCATGCTTAATGGTCTCCCCAAGGCGCCCTAGAGAGCCCTAAGCCCGAGAGGCTTCTGTTGAAGTGTCGCACACGTTTCCCAAGGCGTTTCCTCCGAAACCGTCTTGGCTCAAGCTTTTTGTATAGCAGCGAGAGGCTGCTAGATTACTGACTTGCGGTCTGAGCCGCAGCACAGCGAACTCGCCCGCCGACAAAAGGTTCCTGTGCCGGGTCATCGTGTGTCCAGCGACGCATTTCCCCAATGCCCCGCGCATCCACAGCGTCAATCACATGATTCGGGAAAATTGTCCCATTCGCGCTGCGCTTAAAGACGAAGGAGGCGCTGCCAGCTTCCTCGCGCCGCTTGGACGGGGGGGGAGCTTAATGCACCTTGTCCGCCCCCCCGTTGGCAAGTTCCGACCAGCGGTCGCTCGTGACTGACCGTCGTCGGGTAATGCTCCGTCTTTGGCCGTCTTGGCGGCCTCTTCGGCCGTCTTGGGGCGATGTTTTGAATCCTTTTTGGACGTCTTGAAGAGTCAGAAGCTCGAACATTTGAGGACCCCCACAACATTGAACATCTAAAGTGAAGCTACTGATTTTGGCTTTTCGAGGCCCTCTTACAACAGCCCTTGGGGCTCTCTAGGGGCGCCTCGAAGCTTCTCGGGTCGCCTTGGGGTCATCTTGGGCGTCTTGGGCCGATCGTGCGGCGATTTGAGGCCTCCTTGGACCGTTTTGGGCGGCCTCACGGACCGTCCTGGGCCCGTCTTGGGGATCTCGTGGCCCCCCCAAAGAAAAATCATGCGGGAACGCGCCCCGCCCCAGGGGCCACGCGGGGAACCGCAGGGATCCACGCGCGCCCAGGCCGATTTTGGCAAGTTTGGGTCCGGGCCGATGCTTCGGGATGGGGGATTGAGGTTCCAGGGGGTCCAACGAGGGGCCAGAGGCCACTCCGAGTCGTGCCTCGTGGGCGCGGTGGCGTGGCCAGTAATCGTCGTCCTATTGTATGTTTCCGTCGCCAGGCTGTCGAGGAAGCTTGCGACGGCACTTGCTTCGTACGCTCGTTGTTTCTTTCGCCGGCGGGGTGGAGAGGAATGGCGGATGTGGACCAGCAGGGGGAGGCGGAGGTGAAGGCGGAGGCGGATGAGGAGGAGGAGGAGGGGAATGAGGAGGAGCAGGAAGAGGAGGAGGAGGAGCAGAATGAGGAGGAGGAGCAGAATGAGGAGGAGGAGGAAGAGGAAGAGGTGGAGGAGCACGAAGAGGAGGATGAGGAGGATGAGGAGGATAATGGTGCGGGGAGAGAGGGGGGGGATGCGAACGAGAGCGGGCAGGGAGGGAGGGAGGGAGGGAGGTGGAGGAGAGCGTGCCGACAGGATCGAGCAGAGTTACGTCGGCTTCATCCTGGGCAGGGGCGGCGAGCAGGTCAGAGGGGGGTTCGCGGCTTCATCCTGGCTCCCAGCGCTGCGAAAACGTGCCATCAGCGGGCGGCGTCTCTTGCTCCTGGTCCGAGGAGGAGTGGGAGGGCGATGCCATACAGCTCTTGCTGTAGTCGTTATTTTAGGGAGCGCTTTGGGGCCTTTCATGGGCACTCGGGTGTGCTCCTCCTTCTTTCTCTCTTCCTTCTTCCTCCGACGCGTTCCTGCTCGTCCTCCTGCTCCCTCTCCTCCTCCTACAACCCCTTCTTCGCCCTCTGGGGGCAGATGTTCTTCTCCATGATTGCTGGGATCTCCCGCCAGTGCAGTCCTCCACTCCCTGTCCCCGTCCACCTTCCCCTGGAGCCAATCCAGTACTTCCGCGTGTCTGCCTCCAACTGCGTCGAGGGGTCGATGGAGAAGCATACCATCCAGCGTGAGGGAGCCACAACGTCCGACTTCGTCCAAGGGGTCTCACCCCATCGACCCCCAAACGGTGGAATTGTGGATGTAGTTTGTTCCGTTTCCTGTACGCCCAGCGACCCATCAAGAAACGGTGCCTAGTTGAAGAGTGGGGAGAAGGGACGTCAATAGTCATACAGTGAATATAGCGATGCTGAACTCATAGTGGCCTCTGATTGCATCTTGGAGTCATCTTGTAAGCCTCCTAGGGCCCAGTTGGGAGCCTTTCAGGCCACCTGGGGGCCTTCTGCGGCCTTCTTTGGGGCCTTCGGGGCTCCCTTGGAGTCATCATCCTTGAGGAGGCCATCGATCCAAAAGGAGGGGTCCTAAATGGGCTCCCCGCTGGGAGTCCTAACATTCGCCTATTGGGACTCTCTTGGGCCCATTGGGGGCCTTCGGGTCCATCTTGTGGCGCTTCTGGGCCCCTCTCGTGGCTCTCTTGCGCGATCTTGGAGCAGCCCGTCGGAAGCGAAAAGGCAACACGCCAACACTACCTTGGACTTACGCGGCTCTGTTGCCACTTCAAGCAATATTGGGGCCTCTCGGCCGTGCAGGAGCTCTTGAAAGGCCTTCTTGGAGGGTATCCTGGAGGTGTCCGAGAGTAGATTTGGAGGCTCGGATGGCCCAGAATGCGCGCCTACCTCCCCCCCCAGCCTGGCCCCCCACCTCCTCAAGCAGCATGTCGGACTCCCGGGGAGATGGAAAGGCGGGGGTGTCGCCGGGCAGGCTGGACCTAAACGGTGTTTTGGCGATCTCGTGGGCCGTTTTCGTTTCGTCTTCGTTTTGCGGCAAAGGCGGGGTGGAGACAACACGAGGGAATTCGAAAAGCAAAACGAGAACAAAAAACACCGTTTAGGTGCAGCCCCGTCGCCGGGCGTTGCGTAATGGGTGGGCGATGCACGGGGGGGTGCAACAACGCCCTAAGGCGCGGGGGGGTGCCGGGTGGCACTGCCAATCTGAAGTCGGGCCTGTCCCTCTACAGGTGGAATATTCAAAAATAGTCAAAAGATAGTCTGGGGACTATTTGTTGTGTATTTTTTAAAACAATTTTGGAGTATTTGTTGAGTAATTTTTATGTTTCGTCGAACATCCCCCTGTAGGGGGACACGCCCGACTTAACGCCAGTCATCTCAGGCGCCTTCTCAGCCCCGGCATGCGGGGGTCGGCGAGCCTCTCGACCCGAACCCCAGGGTCCAGCTTGCCGCTTCAGCCAGCTCTTCTGATGGCCCGGGCGCCTGAGACGGACCTACATAGGCCCAGAGTCTTGGGGAAGGGTCTTCGCGCACCTTCTGGACGCCGGAGGTCCAGGTCCTCCCGGAAATCGATCCCTGGACATGCCCTGGAGTTCCTTTTGGCCAGATTCTCGAGGCGGACCCAGCGGTGGCCACGAGGGTGGCCTGGGAGGCTCGAAGACCCCGACAACGCATAGAAGCTCCCCCTCTCGATCTTCGATCCTCCGGAGGTCTGGGAAAGGGAGCCCTGGGAGGCAGCTGCCCCCAAAACGCCGAAGAACCTCCACTCCTCGATCATCGGTTTGGGACGAGGGAGGGCGGCCCAGAGGGCCCCAGGGTGAGGTGTTCGTGTTTGGGACGCTCCCAGGGGGGCCTCCAACGAGTTTGTTCGGCTCGAGCTCGAGTCTAATTCGACTATGTAGCTCGACTCGAGGTCGGCTCAAGTTCGGCTCTAGTCGACGGGCGTTCGACGCATCACCGAAGCACCAGTGTGGAACGAGCGGCTCCAGGCGGGTCCCCAGAGCGAGCATCTAGCCAGGGGGTCCACAAAGGAGCGAAAGGTTGGAGGCACCTTGGGGTAATTCCAGCCTGTCCCTCCACAGCGGGAATACTCAAAAATAGTCAAACAATAGTCTGGGACAATTTTTTGAATATTTGTGGGCATCTTTCGGCATTTTTTGAATGTCTTCTATTTTTCGTCCAAAATCCCCCTGTAGTGGGACAGGCCCGACCTAAACCTTGGGCCATGATCATCTGCGGCAGCCTTCTGGGCCGCCCAATGTGGGGTTGACTGAATGGGCCGGGTTGACGGATCGCGCCGCATCGCCGATGCGGCTAGATTCCCAGGCCTGCTGTCCCAATCCCGACGTCACCGATGCATCGCCGATGCAGTTCGATGCGACTCCATCTACTCCGCCCCCATCTGAGCGGCCGCCTCTAGACCTTCGATGTCCTGGCAGGTCAAGCGGATCAAGACCCAGACGGGGGCCAACATCAGCATCGACCAGAGCACGAAGGACCCGCGTTGCGCGAGAGTGTGTGTGTGTGTGTGTGTAAGCGCATGCGTGTGTGTATGTGTGTGGCTGTGTGTGTGGCTGTATGTGTGAGTGTGTGTGTGTGCGTTTGTGTGGGGGGGAGCTTCTGCTCGGATGATGATGATGATGATGATGATGATGAGGAGGAGGAGGAGGAGGAGGAGGATGAGGAGGAGTGCAGAAAAGCAACGGCCGGCGCCGGCGCCGTCAGAGACGTCAAATGCCGATCCAAGATATCCGCGCGGATTTACGCAGCATCTTGTTCTTCCACAGGAGGTAAAAAGCCAGAGAAGGGGGGTCACTGGCGTTTACTGTCCTCTTTGTGTCTCCTGGCGGCTTTCGTCGCCACGGCTGGATCCGCCCTCGAAGGATCCCAGGAGGGGTCCTGTGACGGACCTTGAGCGGATTGACGTCAGGCGGGAGAGCCGCCGTTGTCTCAATTTGCCCTCCGGAGGCAGGAGGACAGGGGAGGAGGCCTTGGAGCGAATGGGGCAACACAGTCACGGCAGAAGTGTTAGGAGGCTCTCTTGCCGACCTCTTGTGGCACCCCCTTGGCCATCTTTGCAATCTTGGATGGCCTCTATGGGATGTGCCCTCCTTTCGGGAGCCTTGTGGCATCTTGGATGCCTTCTGACGTCTGAGAGACCTCTGAAGCCGTCTTGGCAGTCACTTGGGGTCCTTTCAGTCCGTTTTGCGGAGCTTCGGTGGTTCATTGGGTCGTTCTAGGGCTTCACACACCAGCTTGGACGCCTTTTGGGGCCTGATGAAGTGTTTGGGGAGCTTCTTGAGGAGCCCTGTGAGCATCTTGGGCTGTTATGGGAGCTTCGTAGAAGCCCTTTAGGCCCTTTTGGGGGCTTCACGGGGGCTTCCTAAGCTGTCTAATGAGCGGCTTGGACCCTCCTGGACGCCTCTTGGGGGCCTCCTGGGGGCACCTGGGGGGTATCGTGGGAGCCTCTTGCACCACCTTTGGAGTCTCCTGGGAGCGTCCGGGGGGTCGCTTGGACCGTCTTCGCCTCTCGGGAGCAAGATGCGGGTGGTGCCAGGAAGCCACGCCCCTTGGAAGCCCAGGCCAGGCGGCACAATCGTGCTTGCGATCTGTTCTGCACGTCGGCATCTCCGCTCGCAGAGACGAGCGGCGAGGCCTCGAGTGCCAGCGGGCCGCCGAAGTGATCTCTGCGCCCTGAGGTTCAAGGACCGCAGAGAGGAGCTCGGGGACACCACCCAAGGGCGCCTGCAGCTTGGAAGCTCTTCGGAGCTCCAGAGCTTCCCAGATGCCTCAAGAAGCCCCCCCCCGAGGCACCGAGGGCCCGCCCGAGGCCCATGGAGGGCAACGGACTCAAAGACCTCGACCCCGCGACCCCGCGAGGGTGGCGATACAGATACTGTCACTGGAACTGGCGAAGACGGCCACGATGACCACAACGATGATGATTATAATGGTGATGATGATGATAATGGTTGTGGTGGTGGTGATGATGATCATGATGACGATGATGATGGTCGTGGTGGTGGTGATGATTCTGATGACGATGGTGGTGGTGATGCTGATGATGATGATGGTGGTGGTGATGATGGTGATGGTGGTGATGATGGTGATGGTGGTGGTGGTGATGCGGATGACGATGGTGATGGTGGTGATGATGGTGGTGGTGGTGATGGTGGTGATGGCGATTGTAATGATAATGATGGTGGTGATGATAATGATGATGCTGGTGGTGGGGATGATGCTGATAATGATGGTGGTGATGATGATGATGATGGTGGTGGTGATGGTGGTGATGATGGTGATGGTGGTGGTGGTGGTAGTGATGATGATGGTGGTGATGATGCTGATGATTGGTGGTGATGATGATGGTGGTGGTGGTGATGATGACGATGGTGGTGGTGATGATGGTGGTGTGAGTGATGATGGTGCTGATGGTGATGATGGTGATGGTTGTTGTGGTGGTGGTTGTGGTGGTGGTGGTGAGGGTGCTGGTGATGGTAATGGTGATGGTGGTGATGATGGTGATGATGATGGTGACGATGATGCTGATGCTGCTGATGATGAGGATGATGATGATGATGATTGATGGTGGTGATGCTTCTAATGATGACGATGATGATAATGAATGTGATGATGGTGACGGTGCGAGTATGTGATGGTGGTGCTGATTATGAGGATGAATATGATGATGGTGGTGTTGATGATCTTGACGCTGATGACGATAAAGATGATGCTGCCGATTATGCTTGTGCTTATGCTGATGATTCTGTCGGTGATGATGATCTTGATGATGCTGGTGAGGACGATGGTGCTGGTCGTGGTGGTGGTGGTGATGATGATGATGGTGATCGTGATGACGTTCAGGCTCATGACCATCATCATGATCAGATACAGGAGATTGAAAATGGTTATCATGGATATGAATATGATGATGGCGATGCTACTGACGGTGTGGATGCTGATGTTGTTGATCGTGTTGGTGATGTCGATCATGATTATGAGTAGGATGTTGAGATTAATATTGGTGGTGTTGATGGTGAAGATGCTGATGCTGTTGATGATGATGATGCTGCTGATAATGATGATGCTGATGATGGTGATGATGGTGATGATGCAGCTGATGATGATAATGATGGTGATGCTGATGATGGCGGTGGTGACGCTACTGTTGTTAATGGAACTTGTAATCGTCCGGATCGCTAGCATGATCACCATCATACCCATGCTGTTGATTACGATGATGCAAGCTTTGTCGTTGCTGCTGACGGTGATGGTAAGGGGGACCATTCATATGATCTGCGAGCATGGTAATTACTATGACCATGCTGCTGCTGATGATGATCACGCTGATGGTGGTGACGGTGACGACGGCGTCGCTGAGACGGTGACCATCGCGTTGCTGATGATGATGGTGATGCTGATGACGTTTGTTTATTGATTGAGTTGCTGGTCGTAAAAGTGGTCCTCTTTCCTCGACCCTCCCCGGCCGTGTGAGCCCGAGGCCCGCCCGCGCGGGGCCCGAGCACGCCGGACCAGCGCCCGTGTCGGCCCGCCCGACCGCGCGGGAGGAGCAGGGCTACAGCGTGGCCCGCATCCAGCAGGGCCTCGGGGCGGACTCCGCCAGGGCGCTGCTGGAGAGCAGGAGCGATCCCTCCCCCCGTCCCCCACCTTCCTCCGCGCGGCTCCTGCCCTCCCTCTCTCGCCCCCCCCCCCCCCCCCGAGATGCTTCCTCCCTCACTCCCTCCTCTCCTCTCTCGTCCTGCCCCGTCCTCCTCCCTTCTTCCGCCCGTTCCGTCCCTCCCTCCCTCCTCCCGCCCTGTTTTTTCCTCTGGCCCCCGCTCCTCCTCCTCCTCCTCCTCCTCCTCCTCCTCCTCCTCCTCCTCCTCCTCCTCCTCCTCCTCCTCCTCCTCCTCCATCCCCCATCCCCTCCTCCTTCCTCCGCTGGTCGCGGGTCTGGCGCCCCCGCCAGCTCTGAGGGGGCTGCCCTGATCAAACCCCAAAGTCCTGCATCTCTCCCTCTCCTCCCTCCTGCTCCTCCTCCTCCTCCTCCTCATCCTCCTCCTCCCTCTCCCCCTCCCCCTCCTCACCCCTCTCCTCCTCCTCCTCCTCCTCCTCCTCCTCCTCCTCCTCCTCCTCCTTCTCCTCTCCCTCCTTCACAATTGCTCAACATAAATACTCTTCTGCCCAAAGTTGACCAGGGAGTCCCCCGCCCCCCTCCGCGTATAGTTGTTTGGCCTAACGCAGACTTGCATGTCTCCAAGCAGTGCTTGCACTCAGGAGTTCTTACTTAGGGTCTGGGGAGATCAGCATGACCGTCGGTCTGTTGGCTATGTAGTCGCCGTCGCCGCCCCGCCGCTGCCCGTCGCCGCTCGTCGTCTGGGCCTGACCGTCGGTCTGGTGCTATGTTGTCGACGAAACCGCCCGGCGCCGCCTCGTCGCTGCCCGTCGTCTGGGCCTGACCGTCGGTCTGGTGGCTGTATTGTCGCCGTCGCCGCCTCGTCGCTGTCCGTCAGCTTGCATCACATTTCTTGCACCACATATTTGCGCGACGTAATCTCACCACGTGAATTGCACCACATCAATTGCACCACACCGATTACTGCTAGGAACACTCGGTTTAGGGATTCACGCTGGCTAACATGAATTACTATGTGCTTCCCATGCTTTTCTATCGGACCGTGTTCGCGGTCTCGATTTGGTGTTGCCGCCGCAGCGCTCGCGTCATTTTAGGATCGGCGTTTGGCTCCCGTCGTTCAGAATCGCGCTCTCCCCCCTTGGCTAATTTTCTAGATCCGAGTCCTCCCTCATCGTTGTCGCCCCGATCATATTCCCTCCTCCGCCTTCCCCTGGTCCCACTGCTCCTCCCGCTCCTTCCACTCCAGTTCCCGCTGCTACTGTTCGTCCTCGTCCTCCTCCTTCGTCATCCTCTTCCTTTCCGACCTGTTCATCATCCTGCGCATCAGCCACCTCCTCCTCCTTCTCTTCCTCCGCCTGTGTACACAGCCTCATCTTTGCGATTGCGCATAACCCGATGGGGTCTTTTTAGGACTATGACACGCTCAGGCGGATCGTGTATCCTGCCACGCCTGGCCGGCCGAGCTCAGCCGGCCGAGTTCAGCTCGGCCGGGCTCCTCTGGTGCAGAGATCCATCAGCGCAATGGGAAGGGACGGATTGAGGGTAGGCTGTCATAGCTTGCTCTCCTCCCTCCTCCTCCTCCTCCTCCTCCTCCTCCTCCTCCTCCTTCTCGTCCAGCTTGTCACCTCCTACAAAATGCCTCGCGCGGTCAAAGGCCTTGGGTCCATCTCATTTCTACGCGAGGTGGGACAGGGCATAATGCCTGGCTGCACCCATGCCACGACCCTACTCACCGTGCTCATGATTCGGACCTTGGTGCAGGTGCAGGAGCTTTGTCCCACGGTGTTCCCTCCAGCTCTCGTAGACGAGGTACACTGTAGTGGATCGGTAAAAACGTTAAGGAGAGCACTGAGCTGGTCAAGGCTACACGGGAGTTCAAGAGTGGCATGCGCAGGCTTGGTCTCTTGGTGCAGCCTGTAAGTCATGATACGTTGGCACTACCAGGGAGGCTCTGAAGCAGTTTTTGCCATGGGCCCGACTCCTACGGTTGTCACGGACGGCTCAGATGCGCAACCTTGGACATGACATGGTGGTTGGGGAAGTCATACGCGCTGTGGCCAAGGGCAGGTTCGCCAAGCTGCAGAAGCGCATGGGACGTGTCAAGCTGCTTCAGGCCACTGCTGGCTTCAAGGTCGGGGCCATTTGGCGCACTGGATTGCTGGCAGGGGCTGCGCATGGCAGTTCGGTGTCTGGTGTTCCTGAGTTCCTGACTGTGACCTGAAGAAGTTGCGGCAGACTGCAGGCGTATTGGCATGCGTGCATTCCAAAGGTGTTAGTATCACGGCTTATCTGGCCTCCCAGAAGGATTTTTGGATGGATCCCAATTTTGACGCGACGTTCAACATGGTCTACACGTACGCTTGTTTCGTGTTCGAGCGGCGCCTGGAGATGCGGAGGCTGGAGCGTGCTTGGCGGGCTTCTTTGTGATATTGTAGTGGCCTTCGGCCAGTGCCGCCGATCGGGGGCGCTCCGACTTATGTGATCCTTCTTCGCCCTCGTTCCTCCTCTCTTTTTCCCTCCCCTCCTCTCACTCAGCATTTATCCAGTGGCCGTCGGCCTATCCCGCCACCGTGCGTGGGTGGTGGGTCAGAGGCCTCATGGATGCTGGTTGGGATCTCGTGGTTGGCTGGGACTTCTGGGGGCCTCTTGTGCGCCTCTTGGGGCTTCTTGGGGGCCTCTTGGGCCTCTTGGGGCCACTAGAGGGCCTCTTGGGGGTCTCTTGGGAGCCTCTTGGGGCTTCTTGGGGGCCTCTTTTGCGCCCCTTGGGGCCTCTTGGAGGCCTCCTCGGAGACTCTTGGTGCGGGAGGGGTGGTACTCGAGTTCGGAGCCCCCTCGAAGGCCACGATCCTTGTGAGGGGTGTCAAAAAACGCATCCGCCGGAAACTCGCACCCCCCCCCCACCCCCCCTTCCCCGGCAGAACCACCCCGGCAACCCCCCCAGAGGCTGAGGCTCAGCCTCGAGGCTGTAGCTGAGACTCCTTGAAACTCACACGCCGGATCGGCGGATTTGACAGGATCGTTCTCCAGGGTGGCAGGGCGGTCGGCGGTCGGGGTCCAATCGCTGCCACATGGCTCACGCTTCGGCGCGTGGACTGGGACATGCTGAGCAGCACGGTCATCCTCAGCGACGAGGGACTCGCCATTTCTGTCCTCCTGATGGCCCTCGGTCATGGTTGAAAAATTGTGCGCCCGGGAGTGCAGCGATGAAGAACGTCGCATCCTGGAGCATCACGCCGAGCATCTCACAGGTGGAGAGAATGTCTAAATGCGCGCCCTCGCGTTGACATTGGGAGGCAAGGCGGCTACCATCAAGTCCGCGGGGTCGCTGGTGCTATTCGTTGTCTGTGGTCTGGCGGATTCATAACGGTGGAGAAAATGCACCGGCGTGGCTGGCGTCCGTCTCCACTTTGTCCTCATCCTGAATGTCGGGCTCGACAGGTCATCGGGGACATGGGTCACATGCTCGACGGGTGCCCGAACTTGTTCGAACAGGACGACGCACGTGGATTGTCTCCTTGGTCTGAGGAGCTGGAAAACAACGCGTGATCGTCTGTCATTGGATGCTGCGAATTTCATGGGGCACACTAGTTTTCATCTGCTTGAGTTTTGTATAGGGTTCCCCCAGGCTTCTCCCAGGATCCCTCCTTCCATCTGGGACACTCCCACGTTCTTCTGGGGGGACCGGAGCTCGGATAAGGCCTCCTGGGAGCCCATTGCTTTCTTTGACGGGTCGGGTATGCATGGTGCCTGGCCCGAGTTTAGACGGTGTGGGTGCGCTGTTGTCGAGATGAACTGCAGATGGCCTCCCTTTCGCAGCTGCAGATGGCCCCCTCCCAGGCCCCATCCAGTCAGTAGGCCGCTCTGGGAGAAATGCGCTGCTGCGGGGGCTTCAGCTGTTCCCTGGTCTTCGTGTTGCCGTTTCGAACCTCCCTGGGGCCGTGCGAGAGGGGGCTGAATGGTCTGAGGCACATGCCTCGGCCACGGCCACCCACGCTGAAATTTGGAGGCGGATGTTTAGTGTGGTTCGGGGCCTCCCCTCCCAGAGGTCTCCAGCTTTCGAGTGGGTGCCAGCGCATCTCACTATTGAAGATTTCCTCCTGCTTGGAGGGTGGCTTGTGTCGTGGTGGTTCGGCAATAGTTGGGCGGAGTTCTCTGGTGAACCTGGTGCTGCTCCACATAAAGTTGCAGGCACTCTGGCGGACTTTTGGTCTGATCAGTTGTCCATTTCACGTAATAGTGCCAAGTTCTTTGGATGGGCAGTGGCCCAGAACGCTGCCCATAAGGAGACTGTGGGCGCGCAGCTGTATGCTTTTCGTGAGCTCCCGAGGCATGTTGCCGGCGGGGGTGATCTTCTCTGGAGATATCAGGAGCACGATGTTCACATGCACGGTGGCATGATGGTTTGCCGGTCGTACCTTACTGGGGCTAATACTGATACCGTTTGGATCCAGCCCTGGTTCTCGTCTGGATGCCCCTGGGATCGAGCCACAGGGTCCTAGGCCCGAGGGCGAGGGGAGATGTTTTTTTACTGCTTTGGGGCACAAGATGGAGCAGGTGGGGCCGCACATCTTTTGTACAGCGTGTGGTTCCTATTGTGCTCATCGTTTGGGGCCAAGCTGCGTGCAGTTTGTAAGCTACCAGCGTCTGGTTCCCTGCCCCAGAGTGTGAAGAGATCTCTCGCGAATATCCGTGAGGGACTGCACCCCAACATTGGTGTCAAGCTGGAGGGAGGATCCCCGGCGTAATCGTCCTCGTTAAGATTCGAGGCGCAGTCGGGCAACTTGGCCGCGCCTCTGGTATTCGATACCCCGATACCTCCTCCTCCTCCTCCTCCTCGTCGTCATCATTTTCGTGCTCCTCCCCGTTCCTATTCGCTGGAGCGTGCGCGCGGGGAGGAGGAGGAGGAGGAGGAGGAGGAGGAGGAGGAGGAGGAGGAGGAGGAGGGACAGGAGGAAGAGAATGAGGAGGAGGAGGAGGAGGCGGAGGAGGAACATTAGGAGCGGGGGGGATCTGGGCAGGGGTCCTTGACACGACCGAATTCGTACCGACGGTTACGCAAGACCGTACTACAGGAGGGGCAATGGGGTGGTCTCTGGAGAGGAGCAGGAGGAGGATTGGAACCCGTTGCCGCATCCACGCCAAATTCTTCGAAGCCGGATGTTCGCGGACCATGGCGGATGACGGTGGTAGTCCTTGCATCCGTTCCCCCCTGGGCGCGAGATCCTGGCCTCCGCTCTTTGAGCTCGCAGCTCGGCTGCTTCCTCGTTGCCGAGCGAACGTAAGACTCGGCTGCGTTGGGACTCGGGGTCGCCGACGTTTTCGGGAGCTTTCAGACGGGTCAGTGCAAACGGGGGTCAGTCAGAGCGCCATGTCTTGCAGGATCCTGTAGAGCCAGGGTTGGGCTGACCTGGGCTAGCGTGCAGGATCGTGTAGAATTCTGCAAGGCCTGACTGACCCGGGTAGGGATGAACCTGGGTCAGTAGATCCCCGCCGCTTTTTGACAGGCCCGTCTTGGATTTGTACGGTCCAGGTTTCGTGGGATGTTTGCACTGGATCTCGTCAGTTTTTGGACGGCCCCGTCAGGGCAACCCGAGTCCCCTGGACCCGATTTTGACGTCTCCCCGATCTACGGGCGTCGTGACCGTGGTCGACCACCAAAACACCGCGACGCACCACCTCTCGGCGGCGCGCGCAAGGGGGTGGGTCGAGGGGAGACCATTCTGCGGAGGCAGCGTGCTTGTCAGAACGGACGAGACGCTACAGCATGCCTTCTCAAGAGGTCAGGCGTTACGCTAGGCGGGGATGGGCTCAGGGGGGGATGCATCGGCACCCAATTGCCCATTCATCACCGACAGGGGCCCGACGGCCCACCCCGCCCTGGAGAGGGCGGTCTCGCTATCGGGGGCGCATCGCCGATCTATCTGCCACTCGTCGTCGTTTCCAGGCCGATGGTTTCCCCTCCCCACACCTGCCCCCCCCCCCCTGACGATGGCCGTCGAGAATGCAGGAGGGCTTGCAAGAGCCCCCCTTGTATTGCTTCGAGGGCGGCGCTGCCTCGCCCACACTACGCTGGAGGCTTCGCCGCGTCGGCGGCCGCCGTCGCGTGTCAGCCTCCCGCCCCGCCCCCCCCCCGCCCCCCGCGCTGCTGGTCGCTCCCCCTCCTCCTCCGCGCCAGAAGCGGGTCTGGCCGCGGAGGCCACGACGGTGCCCAGGGCCGCCCACGGTTCGATTCGACGGACGGGGCCGCGACCGCGATCCGAGTCGATCTGTGTCGGTCGCCTGCGATCCGCTTCGACGGCTGGGGCCGCGATTCCGATTCGAGTCGCTTCGGATCGGTGGGCCCACCCGCACTGGCCGGGGCCAGCCCGATCCGGGCGCGGCGGTCCGAGCCCGACGCTGGTCCGATGCGGTGCGGGGCGATTCGCTGGCGGCCCGGTCCGCGAGGATCGGATCGGATCGGAATGAAGGCTCATGGTCAGCCTGTTCAAAGCACGCGTCGGGACGCAGTGTGCGTCCCGTGCGTGCAGCAGAAAGGGCTGCGGGCAATCGCCCCTGACCCAGGTCGACGGCACAGGGAGCAAAGGGAGGGGGGGACCAAGAGCGTCCCGGTGTTGTGGTCTCCCGCTTTCGCTGTGCCCCTCTCGAGACACTCCGAACCTTCAGCTCGGAGTAGCCCCGCTGGCGGTGGTGCTGTCTTCTCCTCCTCCTCCTCCTCCTCCTCCTCCGCCTCGTCCTCCTCCTCGCCTCCTCCCGCTCGTTCTCCTCCTCCTCCTCCTTCTCCTCCTCCTCCTCCTCCTCTTCCTCCTCCTCCTCCTCGCTGAGTTTGTGTGCCGCTTGAGCCTGCGCTGCTCGCCATCTCGCAGCACGTGTGATCTTTTGCTGCGCTGCTCGCGCGTGCGCACCGAGGTGTGCTCTGGCGCGTGCCGGCCCGATGGGGCGTCGTCAGCAGGGGTCGCCCAGGCCCCTCGCTCCCGACCGCCCGACGTTTCGGACGAGATGTGGTTGTCGTCGTCGTCGTCATCGTCGTCGTTGTCGTGGTGGTGGTGGTGGTGGTCGTCGTCGTCGTCGTGGTCGTCGTGGTCGTGGTGGTGCTGGTCGCCTGTGCCCCCGCAGAGGGTGGGACGCTCTGTACCAGCCACGCCCAGATGGGGGGCACGGGGGGGGGGAGGGGGGAAAGGCTTCTCTTAGAAGCACCCCTGACCCCTGCTCCTTAGAAGGCGCAGGTCTCCTCTGTAGATGGGACGGCTGGCGCCTTCTAGGAGGCAGCCTCCTTCTCAGAAGCCTTCCCCCCCTCCCCCCCTGACCCCCTCGTGCGGGCCGCCGCCTGCAAAACGACGCGTGCCGTTTGTTGTTGTCTGCGCGCTCCACTCCGCCATCCCGCGACTCGGCGCCCCGCGGCCGCCTCGGTCCAGGCCGGAGGTGGCTGCGATCTGCGGAGGCGTCGCCACCTTCGAGGGCCGCTGGGGGGGTCCAGCGGGAACCGTCGCCACCTTCGCGTGGCCGGCCGCGCCTCGCGGCGGCGGGCTCCCCTCGCGGCTTGCGCGTGCCTCCCGCCCCATCCCCCCCCCTCTCGAGGGCTCCCTCGGTTTCTGAGGGCGCATCCCGAGCAGGGCTTGTCAACCCTAAGGACGGGGATATGGCCGAGGCTGGTTGACGCAACCTCGATCCTCGAACCTCGACCCTCCGCCCCCCTGCAGCCAATGCGCTGATACAGGGGCCACCTCGGGCTCGGGATAGAGCCTGGTTTTCGGGTTGTTGCTCAGATCTTGGAGGGAGAACCTGTTCGTGACCCAGGGCCCCTGGGGCCTGGAAAATCGCTTCGTTCCTTATTCGACGTTCCTTCTGGTAGCATTGCCTCCCGGGCCTCCCCCCCACCTCCAGCCTGCCCCCCCCCTTGTCCATCCCCTCCTCCCCTGGCCTCCCTTCCCCTCCTCCTCCTCCGCCTCCTCCTCCTCCTCCTCCTCCGCCTCCTCCTCCGCCTCCCTCCTCCACCCTCATTGTCGTGGCTGATCGGCGCCCCCCCCCTCCTGTAGGATCGAGCAGGCCCGGGAGGCGACGCTCCAGCACCAGGTCACCTTCAGCGGCGACGAGGTCATCGTACCGCAGTCCGTGGTCGCGACGGGGGTGGCAGCGAAAGTAAGGATGACGGACCAAGGGGGGGAGGAGTGGGAAACCCCCTTTTCTCCGAGCCTCCCCCCCCTGGCATCCAAGCATTGACCCCAGCCAGATACGACTGGCGGGTCAAGGCACGCGCGGAGAGAGTTGACTCTCCGGTGCACGGCAGGGGGAGCAGGGCGGCGGGCACGGGGGAACCCGCGGGGAGGGGGGCAGCTCGGCCTCCCAGTCCTCCTCCTCCTCCGCCTCCTCCGCCGCCTCCAGGTCGGCTTCCTGATCGGCAAGAACGGTGAGTCGCTCAAGCAGGTGAGGCAGCAGAGCGGTGCCGTGGTGGTGCTGAACCAGGACACGAAGGCCCAGGGCTACAGCGTGGCGCGCTTCGCCGGGGACCCTGCGGCCGTGGAGATGGCGAAGTCCATCGTGCAGGCCAAGATGGCCGAGGCTTCCACCAAGCAGGCTGGCGCGGCTCCCGCGGCCCCGCCCGTCCTGCAGACCCTCCCGGCAGCCCTCCCCCCAGCAGCGCCCCCTGGGGTGCCGCCGCCGCCGCCGCCAGCGCCGCCTGCCGTGGCTCTCTCGGCGCTGGCGTCGCTGCAGGCGTTCTCGACGCAGCCCGCAGGGTCGACCCTGGTGGGGGCTCCGGCGCCGCCTCGGGTGCCGATCGTCCTGCCTCCGCTGCGGGAGCCGCCGGCTCCGATCGTGCTGCCGCCGTGCTTCGCGGGAGCGCCGCAGCCACAGTACGCCAGTACGGCGATGCCGGTTGTCCAGACGGCTCCCGCAGGCGCTGGGTCAGGCGGCGGCGGCGGCGGGGAAGATGGGTGGACCGTCGGCTATGGCGTGCCGTCGCCTCCTCCGCCCCCTCCGCCTGCCGCCGTCGTGCCGTCTTGGCCGGATGCGGGCACGGCGATGGCGCCGTGGCAGGAGATTACCATCCACAAAACCACCCCAACCCACCCTGAAGGCCACAATTTTGTCATCACCCACCAGACCACCTGAACCCAACCCGAATGCCCCAATTTGCCGTTCATTCCCAGTAAGGGGGTGGGGGGGCGTCGGGGAACTCTGAAAAAGCGCTTAGGGAACCCGTACCCGAAACGTGGGTCTTTGGGTTAGATGGGGGAGGTCTGGTAGGTAGTCAGGATGCGGCCAGTTTCGCCCCGGGCGTGGACGACTCGTCGAGCTTCATCATCCCTGGCCTTGACGAGGTCGTCGCGTCGCTGCCAGGGTCGGACATGGCTCCGCCGCCGCCGCCGCCGCCGAGCTGGTGACGCGCGGGCGCGGCCTGTCTGCGTCGCGAGGGGGAATTCGCGCGCGGCACGCGGCTTGGAGTTCGTCCTCTGCCCGTCCTCGTCGTCGTTCTCGCCACTGGTGACGAGGCGCGTCGGTATGATGGTTGTAGGCAGGCGCACGGCTGTCCGCAGACCGCCCTTTGGGCCTGCCCTGCCGCTTGACCCCGGAGCTCCGACGGCTGGATTTCTCCGATGCGTGGTCCCACTGGCCCCTGGACGAGCTGCTATGGGCCCTCTGGCCCCTTGGACGTCTCGCTCTCTGTCTGGGGACTGACTCCCTGGACGTCTTCCCCTCGCCTCTCAGATGCGGGGCCTCTCCCTGGACGGCTCGCCCTCTCTCTGGGGACCGACTGCTCTCTGCTCGTCCTCCCCGTCGTCGTCCTCGTAACCAGTGGCTCACTGTGTACACGCCACCCCCAAACCCACCCCGCAGGTCCCAGACCCTCCAGCTTTCGGGCTGGGGGGGGGCAGTGCGGGCTCCATCCTGCTTCCTCGGTGTTCTGGAGTGCCCCCCCCCGCACCGGGAATTGACGATCCCGGCAGTGGTTTCGGGTTGGGTTAGAGGTGGCTTGGTAGGTCGTCAGTGACGAGGCGCGTCGGTGTTCTTGCAGGCAGGCTCACGGCTGTCCGCCAATCGCTCTTTGGGCTCGCCGAGTCACCTGGTTGTTGTACGATCCCGGGCCGGACCTGAACGGGTTTTTTGGCGATTGCGTGGGCCGTTCTCGTTTCGACCTCGCTTTGCGGGAAAGGCACACTCGAGGCAAAAGCGAGGGAAAACGAAAACAGCACGAGAACAACAACACCGTTTAGGTTCAGCCCTGGCACGATCCTCTTGGCTCTGATGCAAATTACGAGCGTGATTGTGCGGGCCGTTCTCGTTTCGACCTCGTTTTGCGGGAAAGGCACATTCGAGGCAAAAGCGAGGGAAAACGAAAACAGCACGAGGACGAAAACACCGTTCAGGTTCAGCCCTGGCACGAAACCTCTTGGCTCTGATGCAAATTACGGAATTTCGAGGCAAAAGCGAGGGAAATCGAAAACAGCACGAGAACGAACACACCATTTAGGTTCGGCCTTGGCACGATCCTCTTGGCTCCTCTTGGCACATTCGAGGCAAAAGCGAGGGAAAACGAAAACAGCACGAGAACGAAAACACCGTTCAGGTTCAGCCCTGGCACGATCCTCGTGGCTCTGATGCAACTTACGGGCCTCAGAGAGCTCTGACGGCCGGACTTCTCCGCTGCGTGGCCCCTGGGCTTCTCGCCCCCCCCTCGCTGGGGCACTGACGTCAAGTCGGGCCTGTCCCTCTACAGGGGGAGCATTCAAGAATAGTCAAAAGCATAGTTTGGGGACTATTGCTTGACCATTGTTGAATAGTTTGGGGGGGTATTGTAGGGGTATCGTTTTTGTTTGTCGTCCAAAATCCCCCTGTAGGGGGCATGCCCGACCTGAGACTATCGTCTTTCCCCTTCCTTCTGAGCCTCTTCTTGGACGGCCCCAGGTCCCGACAAGGGCTTCCGTGGTCCGTGGCATTCGCGCAACCGCGACGCTGGGTGCTTCCGAGTGTGTCAGACCACCATCACGAGCGGCGAACATGCCCGCATCCGCTCCCTCGTGGTCCAATGATACGCTGTCGCGTGGATACGTTCCGCGCGGGGCGTCCTCGAAGAACACCCCGCATCGAAGGGGTCGCGGCCCAGGGGCCCAGCCCTCGAGGCCGTGCCCACCGCTGGAGAATATTGTCTGCGGTCTGGGACCATTCGAAGCACAGGCAGACTGCAGACCGGCGTGGCCAGTCCCCGCTTCGTCGTCGTCGTTTGTTTCCGCCGTCGTCGTCGTCGTCGTCGTCGTCGCCTGCGTCCACTTCCTTTCTCCACCGCCCTCCTGGCCACAACGGTTCTGGACCCCTCCCAGGGCCCATCAAAAGGCAAGTTTTCTCTTGGCGACGAGAACCTCCAGAACAGCACACTCTCCAGGAGTGTGCGCTCTGACCAGAATTTTGAGGGGGATCCAGCCGTGGCGACGACAAGAATCATGGGAGAGGTTCGTCCTCCCCAGCCTCGGCGGCCAGCGAGGGGGGGAACGAGAAGGAGAAGGCTTTCTCGCAGAAGGCGGCGGGACTTCTCCGAAGCCCTCGTGCCTTCTGAGAAATTGTTGTTTGTGTGCTCGGGGAAGGCTCAGAAACTGTCTTGGAAGGCCGTGGGAGTTCCGAGCCTTCAGAGAAGGCTTCCTCCTTCTCACTCCCCCCCCCTTCGCTCGACGCTGACATCCTGCTCCTCCCTGTCTCTCGTGGGCGAGAGACGTATCGATGTCCACAGCCTCGCGGACCGGCCACCCCGCGCGGAGCGTGTCCGTGGGATCGCACATCCATGGGACCGCGCCTCAGTGCCCAACCCGCGAGGGTACGGATAGCAATCTTCTGGGACGGAAGGGTCGATGATCCTCAGAACACGTGTTCCTTCAACGTGTGTGTATCCCTTTGATTCCGCCGTTACCACAGCATGTGTCGGCCTTCACTGTACCGCCCGCGTCGTATCGAAGGGCGTCCGTGGACAAGCACACGTTGGCCTTAACACACGTTCTGAGGATCATCGAAGGGGCCGATAATTAAGGGGTCGGGGGTGGGGAGGGGGTTAGCGGATCAGCTCATGCAGCCGGTTCTCCCGTCGCTGGAGGCGCAAGCGCATCGAGCACGCCGCCCAGCGGCGGGGCCGAAGCCAGCTGCGTGCAGCAGCGCTCGTGTCCACCGCACTTCCCGATCACCCTCCCCCCCCCGTCGTCGCCCAGCCCGAAGTGGACGTGCTCGCAGCACTCGGGTCGAGCGAAAGGGAGGGATAGGGAAAGGGGGGGGGTACGACATCTGCTGCATGCAGCTGGCTTCGGCCCCGCCGCTGGGCCCATTCCTCGATACATGGGCGCCTCCTGGCGCCGGGAGGCGCTGGGAAAATCAGCTACCTGAGCTGATTCTCGACCCTACCCTTTGCGATCCCCCCCTTCGTTCCCCCCGACGCACACTGGTCGGGCGGGGCCAGGACACGGGCAACAAAAGTTCGAGAGCCTTCGAGAGTAACAATAGTTCAAGCATTCCGGAGCGCCCTGGAGCAGCGGCGTCACCCGATGCAGCTTCCAGAGCCGCGGGATCTCAGAGATCCCCGATTCGACGTGTCCCAGTCCGATGTTGTTCTTGTTCTGGCTCCTCGGGGCCCCCCAAACCTGCGCGGTGACCGACCGCGCGGTGGCCCCGGAGTCCCCAACGTCCTCACCGCGCAGTCCGTCACCGCCCAGTTTTGGGGCCTCGGAGGCCCCGGTCGCCCGAGGTGTCCCCGGAAGACGTCCCGAGTACCAAAACCGTGCGACTCACCACGCAGCGTGGTCACCACACCGCCTTGGGGTCCCCGAGCTTCGTCTTACCTAGCCCGCTGGTCCCTCCTGGGGCTCCCCCTTGATGGGCCTGTTCTCCACCACCACCACCACCAGTTGGAGGGGGGAAGGAGGAGAAGGAGCAGCAGGAGGAGGAGGAGAAGGAGGAGGAGGACGGAGAGGAGGAGCGGCAAGAGGAGGAGGAGGAGCAGCAGAAGGAGGAGGAGGAGGCGGAGGAGGAGGAGGAGGAGGAGGACCCCCTCCCGCTCTAACTGATGGTGGTTGTGGTGGTCCCCCCCCCCTCCCCCTCCCCCTCCCCGTACCCCGCGAGCCCTCCCGGCCGGCCCGGGCTCCGCCTCAGCGGGCGGGCCGCACGGAGGGCGCCGCGAGCCGCGAGCCGCGCGCCGCGGCCTATCAGTGAGGCGGCGCCGTGGCCCTGCAAGCGCCCGCAAGAGAGCCCGCGGCCGCGGTGCCTCCCCTCGGGGTTGGGTTCCCTGTTGCTCGGAGGTGGACAGATCTCCTACCCCGACACGTCGATTAGCGAATTGGCCGTTTTGGGTTCGCGAGAAGGCGTCGCGGCCGTCATTTTTGCGGGTCCAGGTCCGTCGGTTTCGGTCCTAGGCCATCTTCGCCAAAAGGTGGTTTGCTAAAGGGAGGTTTGTCCACCGCCGATTGATTCTCTTAAAGACACTGCTATCACGGAAAAACTCAAGGTTCCCGGGGGATTGGTCTCCCACTGAAGCCGCTGCAACCCTTGCGGAGCCTCCTGAGAAGCCCGCAACCCTTGCGGAGCCTCCTGAGAAGCCTCCAGGAAGGGGTCCGCGAGGTTTTCTTTTGAGGGTCAGGAGAGGGTTTCCAACAAGGTTTTTGTCGTCTTGGGGGAAAGCCAGTTCTGAGCGAAACGGGGGCTTTCTACCACCGCCACTGTAAACTTCTTACAGTGGGCGACCGACACTTTCTAACCCTTTCGATCATGCCTCTACAAAGCATGCCCAGCACGACCACACCCAAAAGGACCGCGCTAAACTCGTCCAGGCATTCTCGAGAGGATGCCAACGGGCACCTCTTCCGCACGCCCAGCGACCTCACACGCGCGCCTTGCGCACGCAGGCCTACTCTCAGGAGGGAACCAAAACACACAGACACAATGAATCGCCGATTCCCCAGAAAATTTTGAAACATATTGGAAGTGGGGGGGAACACAAAACCCAGAACATATGGGAACAGATGGAAAAACCGGTCATTTGTGTCTACTTATTTGTGTGTCCCAGGGCCCCTTCCCACTCTGTCTTCCCGGATACGTAAAGTAACCTCAGGGAGCCCGGCCTCTTGGGGTAACCATACGGTCAGCGTTGGAAAAATAGCGTGCGAAGTGGCGCCGCCGGCCCGCTCATGATGCGGCACCCCTCGCCTTGGGGATCGCGTGCACCGAAGAAGCCTTGGCAGGGGGGCAGCGTGCACAGAGGCGTCCCTCGCGGGGGTGTCACCCCACAGGGATGGCGCGCTTTTCGGAGATCCACGCTGCACGATGTCTTTCCAACGCCGACGTAGGGAGGGATTGGGCTCAGGGAGGGATTGGGCTCAGGGGGGATATGCTCAGGGGGGTAGGGCGACTTTCTCGGATTCGAGGTCTGGGGTTTTTGGACTTGTTCGTCGGTTACCGGCGTTTCTCCAACCTCGGGATGCGTTCCAGCGGCCGCGTCGCGCCGAGAGAGCTCCCGCGATGCCCGGATCGTCCCGAACGAGAGGTCTGAGTTATGACCCGAAAGCCACGGGCAATGTCAGGAGGGGATCGACGGGGGACGCATCGGCCTCCAATCGTCCAGTCATCGTCGATAGGGGCCGATCGTCCCACCCCGCCCAGGAGGTGCGGATTCGCTATCGATTGGGGCCCTCGGGGGCCTGCCGCTGACCTATCGGCGA